GGCTTTGTCCTGCCATCACTGGTGGCAACAGGGCTTGGACACGGGCTCCCTCGGGTGCCCCTGTGCAGACAGTCAGGTTCCAGAGCTCTCTCCTTGTCCCGGACTATTTGGCCATTTCCTTTCATTCTCAACCCAAGAAGCTATTTTGGAAACTCCTATAAGCAAACGAATCCCTGGCTGCCATTTGAAGGGGAGAAAAAAGAGCCTTAAGTGAGGGAGTCAGGCATAAAAGCTACCCAGCCCCAAAAGCCCACAATGCTAAATTTAGAAGCTTCACCTCTAAATGAGGTGAAATTACAGGTTCCTCCGGCGGGCGGCGCCGAGACACAGGGCAGCTGTGGCCAGCAGTGAGCAGGACAGATTTGGGGATGGAGGTGGGCTCTCCTTCCTCCAGCCACACCTTGGGGGCAGAGGCCCAGGACACTGCCCAGTGTCTGGAGCAGCTGCCTGTGTGCGGAGCCCCCTGTAGCCTGCCTGCTGGTTCCAACAGCGCCAGTCTAAGTGTGGGCTCCCCGGGTGCCCGGCCAGAGACCAGCGGCGGCGAGGGACTGAGGAGCACAGGAGGCAGCCTGTCTGCCACCAAAGGTTTGAGAACTGCATCACTGCTATGCCTCCTTCCTCTGCCCAGGAGCCCAGCAGGGTCTCTGGGTCAGCTCTGATGCCCTGCCGAGCACTGGCTGCCAGGGCTCCCTGAGCTCCTGGTGTCCCTCCCCATGAGCCTGTTCTCTTCCAGGCCCTCCCTAGACGTGCCCACAATCCAGCAGCTAACGAGTCCATGCCAATAGCTGCAGGGGAGGTTGCTGTCGGAGGGGAGGGGTCTTCGAGGGACCCCAGTCTTGCCAGCTTCCCTTTCCTGAGGCTAGTGCCCCTACTAGGCTGGCCTTAAACATTAGGGGGATCATGGCCACCAAGGCTCTGGAGATTCCCACTCTGCCTGCCATCCCATCCCCAACCCTGTGTGTTTCCCACAAGAAATCCAGCTGGACAGGAGTCATCTAGTTACACAGGACCAGCCCCACCAGGGCCAGCCAGGAGGGGGCGCTGGAAGCTGCTCCTTCGCTCCTCCCCACAGGGGACTGCACCCGGATGCCTCTGTTCTGGGCCTCTTCCATTCCTCTCAGTCTGGGTCTGGTTCCCAGGCAGGGTGTGAGTCCTCCAAATGGCTGGAGGGGGGATCAAGCACAGCCTAGTGTAAGTTGCCAGGCTTTGCAGCCCAGGGTGCCCAGGTTCAAATTCCAGCTCTGGCGTTTCCTGAGTGATCTGGGTTTTGATGGATTTTTTTTTTTTTTTTGGTACTGGGGATCGAACTTGGGTCCTTCCGCTTTCGAGGTAGGTGGTGGAACCACTGAGCTAAATCCCTGGCCCCCTGAGTGATCTTGATTTTGAAGGAGACATCCTCCCACCCAGGTCTCAGTTGCTCTATCTCCCAAATAGGGATCTATAATAGTACTCGCTTCACGTGGTTTTGGGAAATTCAAATAATACTGTTGAAAGCCCTTAAAGCGAGGAGCAGGGCCCCAGCTCCCAGAAGAGGGTGGTGGTCGGAAGCAGGGCTATGTATCAGTAGCAGCTGCTTTTGTAATAGTTTTATTGGGACAGAGACCCTCCCACTCATTTGCAAATCATCTGTGGCTACTTTTGGCCTAAAAGTACAGTAGTTGTGACCAAAAAACCCCATGCATCCTGCAAAGCCAGAACTATTTACCACCTGGTCCTTTACAGGAAGCTTTCAGCTGTGCCTCGGGGGGGGGGGGCGGGGAGTGCTTGGTGACAGTAATTATTAGCACCACTGGGCTCTGGGTTGGCACTGTGCAGGAAGTGGCTTTCCTTCCTGGCTCCCAGTTTCCCAAAGATATGCCTGGCACGTTCCATGCACTAAGCACACCCCTGGCTCTGATTCAGTGGGGGAGAGAACTCACAATGACAGTCCTCAGAAACTACAGGGAATCAGCACCTGCAAAGCCAGACAGGACTCCTGAGGCCGAGAGCAAGGAAGTGTGTGGCAAGGCTCTGAGGGTGGCGACCTCAGGGTGGGAGAGGAGGGATGACGGGTGTCTTCGTTACTTTTCTCACTGAGACAAAATACCCAACACTCAAAGCTAAGGGAGGAAACGGTTATTTCAGTCCATAATTGGTCCACTCCAAGACAGGGTGGGATGGCAGAGGGGCCTCACAGAGGAGAAACAATCCATGGCAAGCAGAAGGCAGCAAAAGCAAGTGAGCAGTGACATGGTTCTTTCTGTCCCTTACATCTTTTTTTTTTTTTTGGTACTGGGGATCGAACTTGGGTCCTTGCGCTTGCGCAGCAGGTGGTGAAACCACTGAGCTAAATCCCCAGCCCATGTCCCTTATATCTTATCCGGGCTACTTAGGGCAGGTGGCACTCACACCCTTCATCCTGGTGCCCCCAGTCCTAGCACTGCACCATGAACAATGCCAGCGTCACACACTCTAGATCCAGCCATGTCTGAGAAAGCCCCACCTACGACTGGGTGAGGCTGTGGGGGACCTCTGGACACAGCCATGCAGCCGGGAAGCCCATCCCATAGGCAGTTCAACTGCCGTTTGAGCTCCAGGCATGAGGCGTTGGCCTACATGGGGCCTGGGCTCTCCTCTACACCCTCTTCTGACGGTAAGTAAGGATGTGCACAGCTGCACGGGCTTAGCTGCTAGGGCCCTGGGGGAGCCGGCTGTTCGCCATTGTCCTTCTCTTTCTCCCGAAGTGGGATGACCTGTAGGTGGTGGTAGCTCCTTCTCATCTCTTTGCCCATCCCAGTTGGGAAGGCACCTGGCCCACCCTGGGTGCACACTGGTGAGACTCACGGACAGCGGGGCAGCAGCCCCCAGGGGAGCCTCCACCAGTGTCCAACCACGGGGCTGAGATTCCTTTGGGGCTGATTTTCAGCTTCCATGGGGATATCTGCTGGCTCATAGCAGCTCTAAAACTTTCAAAGTTGACTCTGGTGAGCAGGGATGAGCTGGTGGCACAGGCGGGGGCTGTGGGGTCCTCCTTGAGGAGGGGTGGGACCGGAGCCTGGCATGTGAGTGTCCCTGAAGCCAGGTGAGAGCACTTTCGGTGACCAGCGCTGAAGTTGCCATAAGACACACCTGGGTTCATGCTGCCCCTCTGAGCCTCAGTTTCCTCATCTATCCAGTGAGGGCATCAGTAGCTCCTGTCCCCTAGGGGGTTGTGTGGCTTTAGTAAGATAATTCGCGTTAGGCATTTAGCACAGGGTCAGCTTAATATTGAGCAGTGGAGAAATGATGCTTCTGTTGCAAGCCTGCCTTAACTTCCCCATCTGTTCACAGGAGTTACAGTGGCCCCCAGCTCCAGGGTGGCCACCCAGCAGGTGCTCAGGGAATGGTTCCACCTTCTTGCATCAGGGTGACAAGTTGCTCACCTGCCTCCCCTGTCGTAGCTCTTAGCTGCCTTACCTGGCTCCCTTGCTCACCTGGTCACGTCCAGGGTGGAGTCTCCATGAGCCAGGTGTGCAGCCAGCCAGCTCTTCCTGGGTGACCTTTGCACTCTGTGGGCTCTGAGTGCATTGTGTCCTCTGCCCTTCTGTGAGGTAAGGTCTCTTCTGAATTCCCATTTCACAGTTGTGATCACTGAGGCCCAGAGCCAGCTGGGGCACAGTGGGACTTGAACCCAGGACTGGCTTCCTTGCTTCTGATGCTTTCCCATGCTGCATATGGGGACTGGGGGTGGGGGGACACAGATGGGTTTAGGGTGCTGAGTGAGGGCTCCGAGCCCTGTTGGCAGCTGATAACAGGATGCAGGACTGAACGCTGGGTGGATGTGGCCTTGTTGGAGCTGCAGGCTCGCTTGTGTACAGGAGGCCTGGGTGTGGTAGCACCATTTGTGGTTTGCTCTGGGCAGCAGGGTCCCCAGAATCCTTTGATGGACAACACCCTGGCTGAGGAGGACGAAACTGTAGCAGCAGAGATTTAGATTAGATATGAAAGAGAACTTTCCGACTGCCCACTCTAGAAGGTACTGGCCAGAAGGGCTATGTTCCCAAGAGATGTGGGGCATTTTTCCAACCTAGAGATGGTTTGGAAAAAAGAGAAGACAGCCAGGGTCCTGGGCTGGCATCACTGAAGCCTGGGCCGGAGACAGGGCAATGGGTTCGGGACGATGGCAGCCCCTGCTGTGAGGAGGCTGTGACCTGGGGTGTATCTCCCTGCTCAAAGCCCTCCCTGGCTCCTGCTACCCTTGCTCAGGTGCAAGGCCAAAGCCCCCCTGGGGCTCCCGAGGCTGCTGGGGACCTGTGCTCTGCCAGCCTCTCTGCCCCCACCTCCTTTATGTTTCTGGACCTTCATCTTTCTGCACTCCACCCAGACCTGTGCCCCATGGCTCCTGCTGCTTCACCCCATCTTTGCCCCCATGCTGCTCGGCCTTCCCAGCTCTGGTCACCTCCTCAGCAGGGTCAGGAGCAGGGCCCTGGCACTTCACTGCAGACTCTGGACCACAATGGTCCCTGGTGTGTCTCTACCGCTGGGCGCTGCCTGACTGGCCGGGCACATGGTTTGTGTCGCCAGTGCAGTGTCCGGCACACAGTAGATGCTCAGCACCAAGGGTCATGGAGGTGAGAGGGCTGGGCCTGGAGGCACAGTTCCATGACTCCTGCTTTCCAGGGGCAGCATCGCAGGCACAGGAAGAACCTGCACGCAGAGTATAGCGACCTCAGGGAGTCTCAGTTTCTCCACTGTGAGCCTGAGACAGTACCAGCTGCCCTGTGCGGTGGGGCCGGGGTGAGACTCAGAGGGATGGCACCAAGATGCGTCCCACAGTCAGCACTCCGGAGGTGGGCGTGCCAAGCTGACCGTCCTGTCCTCTCCTTGCAGGTGACGACCATGTCGGTGAGGGTGCGGTTCCTGTCCCCTGGGGATGCCGGGGCCATGGGGGCCATGGGGGCCGTGGGCCGCAGCGCCTCCTTTGCGGGCTTCAGTGGCACCCAGAGCTGGAGGATTGCGTAAGTACCCCCCATCACGCAGTGTCCTGGGCGCAGGGCTTACTGGAGGAACAGGAAGGACAGGGGCCACCAGTGACCCGAGGCTCCTTCATGTCCAGATTGGAGCCAAGAGAATGGAAGGACAGACAGAGAGACACATAGACACACTCAGGGCTGCAAGAAACCTACAATTTCCTTGAGATCAGAGCAGTTATCGTTTCAGATGCTCTGAGGTCAATCTGGCTGGCATATCAGGCCTACATGGCAAAAGGAGCTCAGAGTAGTGAGTCCACTGGCCCAAGGTCACACAGTAAAACTGCTCCAGAGCTGGGACTCCATCTCCTGGGGGCGGGTTTAGGAAGGAATGTTCTTCCTGTTTGGTACCCTGGGCAATGGGGCTATCCCGGCTCTGTGACCTGGAGCAAGTGACTTCATGTCTCTGAGCCCTGGCTTCCTCATCTGAAAACTGGGAGTCATGCATGTTCTTCCCTCTCATGTTGTCACCATGGCCATGAGCTCACGAGAGATGCTGGCTGGGCTGGGCCACCTCATAGACTTGGGGTGAGAAGTCCCTGTTCCTGGGGGCTGCAGCCCATGACTCAGCCTGGCTGTCCTAGAGTCTCATGTTGGGCATTGTGTTACTTTTCTCTTGTTACTGAGACAAAATACCTGACTCCCAAAGTTAAAGGGGGAAAGGTTTGTGTAACTAACAGTTTGTAGAGGTTTCAGTCCATAATCAGCTGACTCCAAGGCAGGGTGGCCTGGCAGAGGTGCAACACAGAGAAGAATCAGTTACGGCAAGCAGAAGGCAGCAAAAGCAAGCAAGCAAGGGGCCTTAACAGCGTCTCTCTGCCTCTTTTATATTATCCAGGCTGCTTAGGGCAGGTAGAACTCACACCCTTAATCCCAGTGCCCTTGAGCCTAGCATCGCACCATGAATCAATCCCGGTGTCACACACTCTAGCTCCACCAGCCTATGCTGCATGAGGCTTTGGGGGGACATCCAGACCCAGCCATGACAGGTACTGTGCCAGCCCCCAGGGAACCGTCTACCAGCTGGCAGGCCTGAGGGGCAGGTTTCTGGCATCCTGAGAGCCCCAAACCTTCACCTGTCTGAGTGGGTGGGTGACAGGTAGGGTCCCCAGCCACAGCAGGGTGCAGAACCTGGCTGGCCAGTGAGTGGGCAACAAGCATGTCTCTTGCTGCCATACCCCTGCTTGGAGCCCCCAGTGTCCACTACTACTTAGGCTGCAGTCCATGCCCTCAGTGGCTGAGGCCCTGTGATCCCCCCCAGCCTCCTTCCTGCTCCTGCATGCCAGGCATTGATCTCCCCCTCAGGTCTTACCTGGAGCACTTGTCCTGCCTGCTTCTGCTGCTGCTTCTCCAGGGCCTGGTGTCCTGCAGGCCCCAGGGAGGACCCTGGGCCCCAGGCAGGCCAGGCCCCCTTCCACATTCCCTGAGCTCTGGGTTCAATGGCTGCATGATGGACCCTCCCTAGGGACCTAGTCACTCACCTTGCACAGGCCGCTCATACCCAGGTGTGTCCGAGGGGCAGCCACACCTCCATCTGGCTGGAATCCTGGTGTCTCAGCTAGGAGCACCCTTAGGAATCCCTGGGTCCTCAACAGATGTGTAAGGAGACCTAGGCCATGCCAGGCTCTGGGGACAGACTCCACCCTCCTGGTGGGGGGTGGGAGCAACAATAAGAATACAGTAATGAAGATGGATTCAGCGTTGGCAAGGGCTATGCAGGACCAAGAAGAGGGTGTGGGGAGGACGGCCAGCCTTCCCTGCAGGGCTGGGGCAGGGAGACGGAAGGACAGAAGAAGCAGGTCCTGAGCAGGTAGGGGATGGGGAACTCTTCAGGTGGACAGGACAGCAGGTGCAGAGGTCCTGAGGCAAATGAGCTTTGTGGGACAGAAAGCAGACGTGTGGCTGGTACGCGGGACCCTGCTCAGAAGGGGCTTGTGGCTGCAGAGAACTGAGACATGTTCTCAGTTGAGGGGCCACGAAGGGCTCAAGCAGAGACTTCAGATGGGATGAAATGCAGCCAAAGACCCAGAGGGATGAGCACCCAGTGCCCAGGAGTTCAGGGCTCGGAAAGGAAATGTGGGGGCCCGGAAGTGCGGCTGGGAGCGCTGCAGGTACAGCGTCCAGGGTCTCACTGCTTCTGAGCTGCCTCTTCCTGGGACTCCTGCTGTCCCCACCCTGGGGGTCCACATCAGGGCTGGGGGGCCAGCTGTGTAGGCCACATGGCCAAGGGACGTGGCCCCTCAGGCCCCAGTGGGAACTCTCCCCACAAAGTGCCCCATGCTCTCGGCACTCTGGGGGGAAGCGGACAGAGTGACCTGGTCCCTGACACTCAGGCTCATGGGCCACCAGCCCAGGCCAGCACTGTCCATGTCCCGGACCCTACCTTTTCCTTAAGGGAGCTAGAAAAGGCCTGGTCCAGCTAGTCCGGGTCCCTGAGTGGCCACCCTGGGGCCTCAGCCTCTGCTGTCCCCCGCCCAGGAGTAAGAAAGGAAGTGACAGGGAGGAAGAGCATCTATTTTTACTTCCTGTCCCCGTCCTGACCCGTGGCTCCAGCTGGACAGCCTGGCTTGGGTTTCAGGCCTCACCTTCTGGCCTTATTTCCCAGGTAACCCAAGCAGGCTGGAACAGCCAGGCTGCCCAGACACTCGGCTCTGGGGTGGGTCAGGCCAGGGACCTCGGGCAGGAGAGCAGGGCTCTTTTTAGATACCAAGGGCTGATGCCTCCCTTGCTCCCAGTCCTCCCTATCCCCGCTTTGACACAGACAGCTTTCTAGTGTGCAGAGAATTCACTTGGAAGCAACCTCATGGTGAAATCTTATACTAAGTCATGCGTGACTGCCACAGGAAGGCCATTTCCATTTTCTAGGCGCTGAAGGAGGGATGGGGGCAGACCCTGATATTGTCCCATTCTTCCCCAACTGAGAGTCACAGTTGCCCTTAACCCCTGTCCTGCCCGCCCCTTCCCAGGCTGCTGGGCGGATTCCTGCTGGGCTGGGAGCCCCTGCCATGTGCTCGCCTCCCTGGCAATGCCTCTGTTGGGTCTCCTGAGACATATGGGCGTGAACACTATGACTGAGCTTGCGGGGAGGCAGACCTTGCAGCCTGTGCGGGGAGGAGAGGGCCTCACGTCCGGGTCTGTCCTCCACCCTGAGCCTCCAGAGCCCATCCGGTGGCGCTGCAAGGGCTGGGGCTGGGCGGGTGCCGCCTGGAGCTCCTGACCTGACCCAGCAGCAGCCTGTGCCAAGGCCCTCGATGGCAGCGCAGCCACATGTGACCGCCGGGCCCCTGGGGCACACGTGCCTGTCCCGAGTCGTCAGGCGTGCCGGGTGCTGTTTAATATTTATTGAGTCCTCTCCGGGCTGAGCTGGAGACACATCCGGCCCCAGAGGCTGCGCCCTGCCGGCTCTTGTGACATCCGGACCTGACTCGAAGCCTGATTTCAGCATCTGTGGTTGCGCACGCACGCATCGCGGCCGGCCCGGCCTGCCCTGGGACACCAGAGGGGGAGCCGGCCTCAGGCTTGTAGGTAGAGGGAAAGGGGGCCAGGCCCAGAGCGACCCACGCCCACCTGCCCACCGCCAGGAACCCACCTCTCCTGCGCCTGGAGATGGCGACCTTGTGGAGGGCGCACTTCCAGAGGTGGGTGATGTGGCCCCAGGGAGGGCGAGGGAGGAGGGGGCGCGCCCCCGGGCCTCGGCAAACATCGCTTGTCATGGACTCTGTGGATGCCAGCAGCTGTGACTGGGCAATAGCAGAGCCCTGGGCACAGCACCCTGCTCCCCTGCTGCCAGACTGGAGGGCCTTCTGGTCCACTCCTTGACTTCATTACCTCCTGTCCTACTTTAGTTTTCTTCTTGGTACCATCTGATGAGACTTGAACTCTGACACATGCATGGTGCTTCTTTGCCAGGCATTATTTGAAATCCTTTGTATTTTAGCCCAGGTTACCCTCACAGCCACCCTTGCTCTGGTTCCCATTTTACAGATTAGAAAACGGAGGCACAGAGAGGTTGGATAACTTACCTAAGGGCGCACAGCCTGTCTGTGGGAGAGCAGGAGGATACAGACCTCAGTGTCGGGCTCCAGAGCCGGCACTTTGCCCCTTCCCTCGGTCTCTCCAGCTGGCTGTCAGCCCACAGGGGCAGGCGATTTGTCCATTTTGGTCACTGCCCTGCATCCAGCCCCTAGAATGCTGGCTGGTGTGTCACAGGTGCTTAGTTACTGTGTGCTGAGTGAATGGCTGTGCCATGACAGCTCTGTGAGGTAGGCACTCTTCTGTCCTTCCTTTACAGGTGGGGAACCTGAGGCTGGTGTGAGTGGGTTTGTGATCCAGGTGTGCTGCTGTGGTGGGGACCACAGGCTTGGCTCTAGGGCCATCTGGGTCAGCAGGGGACTCGGGGACAGCCCCGTGCAGAGTAAACAGTGGCGTCATGTCTATGCATGGAATGTGCAGCATCTGGCCCAGCTGGAAATATAGCCTGGCTGCCCTAGAGCCTCTTGGGGACCAGGCAGGGCAGTGGCCCGGTGGCCATTCTCTCAGGGCTGGCAAAGAAGCCGGAGCTGTGACTGCTGTCCCCCATCTGGCCCTCCAGACTGCTGTCCTCCGCTGCCCCTGTGGACTGAGCCTGGGGAGGACTCGGGCTCAGGCTCTTTGGTGGGAAGCTGTCTGTTCGGTGAAGCCCTGAAGCCCATCAAAGGGTGGTTCGGGAACCAAGAGGAATGATACACCTGGGAACAAGGTAGAATGCAAAATCTCAGGCCTCCCCTTTCGGCCTGCTGGGTCCACGCTCGGGGTGGAGGTGGGGCCTCCGAACAGAGCCGAACAAGTCCTCTAGAGTCCTGGTTGAGTCCTTTAGGACCTAGCTGAGGATGTGCATGGTTTGGGTTTGGATCCCAGCTCTGTCACCTATAAGCTTGGACTGAGGCTCCCTGCTCGCCAATCCCTGTGGCAGGCTGTTTCCTCCCTGTTCAGTGAGGCTTGTATTAACTGAGCACCTCCTACTTCCTAGGCTGTGAGGGAGGGGAAAGAAACAGCATGGAGGGCTGAGGATGTAGCTCAGTGGGACCGTGACTGCCTGGCAAGCACAAGGTCCTGAGTTCAATCCCTGAGTTCAATACCAAAAAAAAGAAACAGCATGCATGTGATTATTGGTATGACAGCTAACCGGGTGTAATGGTGCATGGCTGTAATCCCAGTTACTTGAGAGGCTGAGACAGGAGGATTACAAGTTTGAGCCTAGCCTGCGAAGTTTAGTGAGATCCTGTCTTAAGAGAAAAAGGGCTGGGGAGGTAGTTCAGTGGTACAGTGCTCACCTAGCATGTGTGAGACCTTGGCTTTTATTCCCAGCACTGCAAAATAAAACAAACAAAAATCTTGAAAAACAAAACAATGTTTTGGCTAACATTTATAAAGAACCTACTAAGTGCCTCCTTCGTACCAATGTTGAACCCGGCATCTCGTAGCATCTCAGCTGTTGGGTCTGTCCTTGCCCCCATTCTGCAGATGACAAAGCTGAGCCTTGGGAAGTGTCGAGGCAAAGCTGCTCTAATGGAAGAACCCCCAAATGCAGATGCCTAAGGATCGTCACTCTGCTCTTGGTCCAGCCATCCAGGACCAGGGGGCTGAGGCAGGATGGGGCCCACCCAGCCCCGCTGCGCCCAGCCCGGTCAGTGGGGACCTGTGCCCTGTTTGCAGCCAGCTTCCGGCACATGCAGAAAGCAGAGCTTGGGGAGGCCTGCAGCTCCCCTTTAGGAACTGGCCCCAAACTGTTGGTGAGAATGCAGCCCTGCAGCCACTGGGCAGGGCTGGCTGGGACCCAGACCCCTGCACACCCTCAGCTTGGACCGGAAGAACCCACCCAGGATTCTCTGTGCATGGCATCTGGGAACCTCTTCAGAGGGCCCAGCATGGGCTTCTGCACAGCTTCGGGAGTGAAGACTGCACCAGCCAGTCTGGTGCTCAAGCCTACTGCCTGAGGGATGGGGTCCTAGGGAGAGGCTGAGGTGCCACTGAAAGCTGACCCCGTACTGCTGTATTTAGTTCTAAGATGATGGTATGTCTCTAATGGGCTGTCACTGCTGAAAGATGTTCATTCTTAGGATCATCCAGTCTATGCTCCCAACTCCAACTGGCTTAAGCCAAAAAGAGAGCCAACTGGGTCATAGATTGGCAAAGTCCAAGGGCAGGTCCAGCTTCAGGAATAGCTGGATCCAGGAACTCCTTATCATATGCATGTGGTCTGACTCCATCTGCTTCTTTCTGTGTTGGATCTGTTTTCCCTACATGGTGGTAAGAGGAGTATGTTCCCCAAGTTAGCAATGCCAGCAGAAAGGATCACTTCCTCTCCTGTGAATCTGAACCAAATTTCTGGCTGTTATTGGCCAGACTTCTGTCCCATGCCTCACCCTGGGCCAAGGTGTGGAATTTATTGACTAAACTGTCCCTGGGAAGTGTGTTTGCCCCCGGATGCCCCTGTGTGCATGTGTGGATGGAAATGTGTGGAAGCATGGTTGAGAGACAGGCACCTTCTCCCTGAAGCCTGAGTATAAGAGGCAGAGTTGGGGGGCTGCCCGGAGGGAAATCCCGGTGCTGTTAACAGAGGGCGCCCGCCGGGGCAGGGCGACGAGCGCCCCTGGACAAACACGGGCTTCGGCCTGGCCTCCGAGCTGCTTTGCTGGCCCAGCCAGAACATGCTGTTCCTGCAGCTTGCTTGACTGCAAGTTCATTTCAGATTCCAGCTTTTCATGACTATTCTTAAGCCTCAAGTGCAGGCCCCTCTTTTTGCAGATGAGGAAACTGAGGCTCAGAGAGCCTCAAGTTTCTCAGCAAAGCTGGAGGTGCTGGGATGGAACCCAGCCAGGTCTCCTGACTCCCACGTGCCTGCCCTGGGGCTGTTGTCCTGACGCACACCTTGCCCTCCCTTCCTCATCCCTTCTCGCAGGAAGCTGACCAACAAGAACTCCGTGAGGTCGAGGTCCCCGGCGAAACACCCCAAGACCTATGGCACGCTGCGCAAGGCGCCCGCCGGCCTGGACCCCAACCCCCAGCAGGTGAAGAGGATCTTCGCAGCCCTGAAGCATGGCCTCAAGTAAGCGGGTGCTGGGGTCCCCCTTTGCTGACCTCTGTCTCTTCCAGGGAGCGCAGCGGGTCTACGTGAGAGGCGCACAGGGCTCCCGGCCGCTCCCTTAGTGAGAACAGGCCCTGGTGCAGCCCAAGGAGCCTGGGCTCTTCTAGCGAAGGAGAGACTGGTGGTTATCGCTTATGGGGCAGAGGGCAGATCAGGGAGAATCAGTCACAAACTTACTTATTGAGGTGCAGGGGACAGGGAACAAAACAGACAAAACTCCTGCCCTGTGGTGCTGATTCCAGACAGACCACAAACAATACAGAGAAGTAAAACACAGGCATGTCGGATGACGCAAGTGTCACAGAGGAAAAGAAATCTGAGCAGGGAGGCATAGGGATGGTTTTAAGCGAGGCAGAGCCAAGATGTGGGGAAACACCCAAGGACCCGGAAGTGAGCCATACAGCTAACGGCAAACATTCCAGGGTGCAGGAGTCAGTGCAAGGGCCCAGGGGCAGAGGCAAGGGAGAGGCTAGAGTCAGAAGGATGCTGCAGAGCAAGGGTTTGGGGCTGTGGGCTGTGGTGAGGCCTCCAGTGTTCAGCCTGGAGGAAACGGGAGTCATGGAGGGTCTATGTGGAGGAAGGATATGACCCAGCTTTGGCTTTAATGAGATCTCCAGAGAGAAACAGAGTTGGTTAAAAATTCAAACAGGTTAGGATAAATGGTTTTCCAATTATACTCTTTTTTTTCAGTTCTGGGGATTGAATCCAGGGCCTCATATATGAGGGGCAAGTGCTCTACCACTGAGCTATGTTTCCAGCCCTTTTTATTTCATTTTGAGACAAGATTTTGCCTCATTGCTCAGGCTGGGCTTGAATTTCTAACCTCTCTGCCTTGGCCTCCTGAGGCCACCACTCCCCGTTTGTGTTCTCTCCTGACTTAAACAATGTGTAATGTGAAGCCAGAAAGTTAAAATGGAGAGGAGGGGCTGTTTTATACTCTGTCTTCATGGTCAAGGGGGCTCACCTTCAGGGAAGCCAGGTGGACCCCAAGTTCTGAAGGCAGGAGGGGGTGACTCTGGTCTTGGGGCCGCCTGGCCAGGGATCAGCCGAGGAGGCCCCATCGGTCTGTTGGGGGCTGGATGGCGGCTGGTCTGGGTCCTCTTCCTCACCCCAACCAGGAGGACCATCCGTGCCCACAGCCCCCTTCCCCTCCTGACGGGGACAGGGACAGGGAACAGGGACCAGGCACCTGCTCAGCAGGCAGGTGGTGTCCCCGTGGGCTCATGGTAGCTCCACCCCAGCGTGGCAGCACTGCTGCGACTCCAGCCACCCCGGCTGCCTCATGTTGAAAGTCCCCAAGCTGGCACATTGCCTGTCTCTGTGCAGGCCGGCTCTCTGCTGTGTCCCACCCCACTGTCAGGTCCCACTAAGGGAAATTCAGCTGGCCCCAAGTGAGAGGTCTTCTGAGCAAGGACAGGAGCTCGGCCATGTGTCACTATTGCATGGTGTCGTTGGCAGAAGCAGGCACTCAGCCCACACTCTCTCCTCCCCTCAGCTGGGTCCGAACAGCGCCTCCTCGGCCTTGGTCTGTCTGCTGCAGCCCTCACTGCTCGCTCCACAGCGCCTTCCCTCCTCCACTCTGCCATCCCTTCTTCTGCTCAAATCTCTTCCATGGCTGCCTCCAGCCCTGGGAGAGCTTTTAGGGCCCTTTCTGACCCCGGCCTTTCTAGACTTACCTTTCATGGTTCACTTCCTGTTCCCACCGTGGCTCAACTGTCAGCATCGGAGTGCACCATCCTCCTGCGTGCACCTGTGCCGTGGCTCCCTCTGAGCAGCCCCCCAGGGCAGCGCAGGGTTCTCTGTTTCTCTAGCTTGGATTGTGGCATTTGCTGGACCGAATGCTGCTCCTCCTTCCCAGGACACCCTTCCCCAGCCTACACTCTGAGAGACCCTTCCCCGTGTCTGCCACTACTTTGTCACAACATTAACACCAGTGATGGGCAGCTTCTGGCATTCTGAATGGCTGCGCCTTGAATCCTGGCCCTTGGGGCCACACCAGGGGGCCCCTTGCCTTCCTTCCCCAGCCACACTGACCCCCACGGGCTGGCCCCCAGACCGGAAGCAGGCATGACACAGGGTGACAATGGGAGGCTATGGCGTGGTTTCAGGCCTGTGTTTACCCTCCCTGTTGCCATGTGACCCTGATTGGGTTACTCACTGCCTGTGAGAGTCAGTTTGCCTGTCTTTAAAATGTGCATCCTGACCGTGGGCTGGGAACGCCCGAGAGCCCTGGGCCATGTCCAGGAACAGAGTCAGCTGGCTGCTTTCTTCTCCTTTCTTTGCTCATTTTTTTTTTTTTTGGTACTGGGGATCGAACTTGGGTCCTTGCGCTTTCGGGGCAGGCAGGGGAACCACTGAGCTAAACCCCGGCCCTCCTTGCTCTTTTCCATTTCGGTCTTCTTTGGTCTCCACTGCAGGGAGTACCTGTGTCTGCAGCAGGCCGAGCTGGACTACCTGTCCGGACGCCACACGGACACTGGGAGGAATTCCAGGCTGGTGAGACCCCTCCCCGCCCCAGCCCCAGTCAGCCAGGCTCAGGCTCAGGGAGGGCCTGGATTTTTGAGGTGTGTGAATGTCACGTTGGCCCTGACGGGTTGAACGGTCCAGGCAGGCGCTGCAGTGCACAGTTGCAGGGCGCCTGGGCTCCTTCTCTTGGTTCTAGGAAAACCCAAGGCAGGCGAGTGAGTGGAGACGCGCGGGCTCCCGGCTTTAGGTGGTCCTATTTTATAGGCCTTGGCCATCAGGCACGCCGGGCAGAGAGGCTTGTATCACCCGGAAAGGGGCTGTTTCTCCACGTGTCCCAGTGGCCCCGGACACTATTCCTTTTGGAGCCTGTGTATTTCCCCCGACATTCAGTGGTCTGCACTTTTTCTCCATCCCTAGAGATGTACCTTTGGGATGGGTCCCCCCCACCCCACAGTCTAGCTCAAGGCTCAGCTGCTCTGGGTTTGGTTGCTCCCTTACCAGAGCCAGGTTTAACAACAAAACAAAGCAAACAATGAAAATGAGCACAACCAACAGTGCCCAGATAATTTGCTTTTCAGACAAACAACCAATGACTCTTTGTGTGACCTTTGGGAAATACTGTCCTGATACTAAATAATTGTTCATTGTCTATGGGAAGTGCAGATTCCAACTGGGAATCCTGTATCTTACCCAGTGACATCGCCAGGGTCCCCTGAGTGGGGACCTGTACCCCTCCAGCAGGAGGATCGCTCTGTCCAGGCCAGGCAGGGCCCCCAGCCTCCTCTCCTCTCCCCACCATACCTTGTGCAAACCCCACCTGACCCTGTGGGTCAGAGTTGGAAACAAAAGCCATGGGCCCTGCTGCTGTGGGATCCTCCTCCTCTAGCCTCAGTGCCCGCAGGCTGCCAGTGTGCTGAGCGGCTAGAAGCCCACGGAGGGGAAGGGAGTCTTCCTGTCTCTGCCCTGGCTCCCGGGGAGAAGGCCTGGTGGCCAGCAGGGTAGGGAACACTGTTCTGAGCCTCACACCTGTGCCAGCCACGTGGGGCAGGAAAGCCCGGCCAGCTCTGTGTCCCTCATCCTTTGCGGGTGGCTGTGCAGTGCCCAGTGCAGATGGCAGAGGAGGCTCTGCCAAGACCCTGCTGGTCCTGGAGCCCGCCTCCTCCATACCACTGCATGGTTCCCGTGCCAGGAGCCATCCCTGTTCTCTGAGGTCCAGAAGTAAGTGCATAAATACGTGTGTGCTTTAGCTGCTCCTGTGGCACCAACGAGCACACTGAGGCCAGGGCAGGGTGACTGTTCTGGGGCTGCCCCATGGAAAGGCTGCCCTGGCAGCAGCTGCTTTGAATTTCACCACTACACTGATTTCTGAGAAGCCCATGCAGATGCTCTTCCTTTCTAAATCTTGGAATCTTTCTGCTTATTTCTTAAGTGGAGTTTTAATGTCATGATCTCTAAATGCATCCATGAGAAAATCGCCTTTTGGGGGCTTAGTTCTTTCCCTCTGGTTGACACTTCCCTCATCTTCTCTGCCCCATCCGTGTAGCCTTCCTTCTTCAACCTACTATTTATCTTTCCTTTCTCTCTCCCTGGTGACACAATCATGTCACATACGCATGCACACAGAGAAGTTTGGGGTCAGTAGCTGACTTACAGCGCTCCACATCTTACTTTTCTTCTCCGTGGGTCTGTGCCCTCCTAGAGCCTGCCCCCTCTCAGGTAGACAGACTCTCAGGCACCCAGGAGACTGTGCCTTAAAACCTGCTGGCCACACCCACGCATTTGCATACAGCCTCCACCACAATGGCAGGGCCTTTCGGTCTAAAGACTCCAAGGCTGTCCAAGCCTGAGATGTTTACTATCTATCCCTTATGGAAAGGTTGGGCTGTCCTGATCTTGTCTCCTTTCCTCAGCCACATTCTGGGCAGACACTGCTAAGGCCTGAATTCATGGGGCGATGCTCTCTGTCTCCCCAAGTTCTTCTGGCCCTGGCTGGAGTTATGCCACACTCAAAGCACAATAGGCCCCAAGGAGTTGCCTACTGGCTGAATCCTTTACCCCTGGTAGCCCACAGTGGAGTAGATGCTATCAATGCCCATCTTACATATGAGGACGTGGCAGTTCATAGAGGTGGAGTAACTTGCCCAGGACACACACCAGGAAAATAGCAGCACCAGGCCTAGAACTGCCTCATGCAAAGTGTGTGTATTTAATGTCTCTTTCCTCTGGACCTAGCAATGGCCCAGAGACTACAGGCCTTGAAGGACAGAGCAGGCTGGCTGCAGGCCCTAGAGTTTTGTCCTCGGAACTAAGGTGTCTCTGAATGTAGCCTGGAGAAGCACCAGGGCTCTGACACCTTCTGCCTCCCTCTTTTTCTCCCCCACAGGCCTTCTATTATGACCTGGACAAGGTGAGCGAAACTTCCTGCATCCTGTCCCATCCTCCCTGCTGCTCTGAGGGGAAATACTTGGGTTTCTTCCCATTTTACAAATGGGGAAACTGAGGCTTGGTGAGCCTTCCTCAAGGCTGGTGAGGGGCTGGGCCCTGTCCTCTATGCTGGGACCAGATGGAGGGCGGTGGGGCCTGGCAGGAGGCCCAAGGTGCTTTTAAAGGATCTTTTCTCTTCCTGGGAGCAGCAGACGCGCTGGGTGGAAAGGCACATCCGGAAGATGGAGTTCCACATCAGCAAGGTGCGTGGCCCCGGGGAGTCACAGGGTGGGGTAGGGTGGCCTTGAGGGGCTGACAGAGGCTGGGGAGGCCGCTGGGCAGGGCAAGGTCCCAGGGCGCTGCACAGCTGGAGAGGGCTGAGGGTGAGTGGAGGTTGCAGAGCCTGGGTGACTGCAGATGCCTGCTGGTCTCGGGCCCATTTAGCAGAAAGACCTCATGCTAAATCTTAGAGGCCAGGAGGGCCCATGAACACACTGCACAGATGAGAAAGCAGAGGCCAGAAAACAGGGATTTGCCCAGGGCCACACAGACTCCTTCGGAGTCTTCAGTCTTTCTTGGTGTTGCCTTATTTCCCGGAACCCCAGGGTGGGCAGCTAGCACAACCGACCTCTCCTTTTAACATCAAAAACTGGAGCAGAGAGAGGAAGAGACCTGTTCACTGGTCCACCTTGCTAGATTTTTTTTTTTTTTTTTTGTACCTGGGATTGAACTCAGGTCCTTGAGCTTGCAAGGCAGGAGGCAGAACCACTGAGTTAAATCCCCGGCCCCTTTGCTAGATTTTATTAGGCACCAACCATATGCAGTGGGACAGGCACAGAGTAGATAAGATGAGCCAGGCTTGGTTCCCGGCCTGGGGCTCACAGTCCGTGGGGGCAGCAGGGCAGGCGCTGGGTAGGGTTCAGCCTGTCGAGGTGGGGAGCTGTCTGCAGGCTGTGTGGGCCCTGTCCTGTCACTGGCTGCAGGTGGAGGAGCTGTATGAGGGCTACTGCATCCAGTGTCGCCTGCGCGACGGTGCCTGCAACATGCAGCGTGCCTTCTCCCGGTGCCCGCCGAGCCGCGCGTCCCGCGAGAGCCTGCAGGAGCTGGGCCGCAGCCTGCACGAGTGCTCCGAGGTGGGCGCCTCCCTGACCCCTCTTCTGGCTGCAGTGGTGGGTGGGTGAAGGCCTTGAGCCACCTGTGGGGCTTTGCAGGACATGTGGCTCATCGAGGGGGCGCTGGAGGTCCACCTGGGCGAGTTCCACATCAGGATGAGAGGTACATGGCCGTTTGGGGTGTCAGGTCCTCCTGGGGGCCCTGAGAGTTCTAGGGGAGGGGTGTGGGCCAGAACCCCAGGGCCGGTCCCACCTTGGTGTCTGCTCTCGTGTGACGTTTTTGAGCCTCCGATGTGAAGGCCCAGCACCCCCATCCTGTCCGCCACCCATGGCACTGGCCCATCCGCCCTGTGCTGATGCAGACAGCCCGTGGGGTCCCCCTGTGGGAGGGCAGGGGTGGAGATGAGCCTGCTTCTGTGTTCCAGGCTTAGTGGGCTACGCGCGCCTCTGCCCTGGGGACCAGTATGAGGTACGGCCACTGTCTGGGTCAGCCCTCGGGGACTTAGCTGGGGTCCTGTCTGGGAGGGAGGCCCCGGGCAGGTGGCGAGGGGGACCCACCTGGGCGGCCACTGCATCCCTCCTCGGCCTTGCCTGAAGGTGCTCCTGCGCCTGGGCCGCCAGCGCTGGAGGCTGAAGGGCCGCATCGAGTCTGACAACAGCCAGACCTGGGACTCAGAGGAAAAGGCCTTTGTTCCCACGCTGCACGAGAACTTGGAGATCAAGGTGGGGGCTGGGCTGGGGCAGGCAGGGGGCCCCAGGGCACAGCTCAGGCACCACCCTCCAGTCCTCACCCTCAGGTGACCGAGCTTCGGGGCCTGAGCTCACTGGCCGTGGGCACTGTGACTTGTGACATCGCCGACTTCTTCAGGACGCAGCCGCAGGCCATTGTGCTGGACATCACGGAGCTGGGCACCATCAAGCTGCAGCTGGAGGTGGTGTGGAAGTGAGTGCCGCCCTCTGCTGGCTGCACTGCACCCTGGGCTTGGCTCTCAGCAGGCAACCCTGTCCTTATCTGAGATCCTCCCGCTCCTGCTCCCCAGATCCTCCACAGCCCTTACCCACACGCTGTGTGTGGAGTGAGCGTCAGTGTCAGACGCTCGTGAGGCTTTAGTGAGAGAAATCTGCTGCGAATCAGTCCTGTCCCCTTCAGGGCGACATTGGCCCCAGCAAGTCCCCCTGCCTCAGGGGGTGGTGGTTAGGGGACAGAGGCTTTGGGTAAAGGACTTTCCAGGGTTCCTTGCACATGGGATTATTTTGCAGAATAAAGACAACAAGCCTCGGGGCCTCCCAGGTTGCCATGCAGGACGTCCAGCCTCCCTTCTCTCCTCCAGCCCCTTTGATTCTGAGAGCCCCCTGGTGTCACCCAGCCCCACGGGCAAGATTTCTCTGGGCAGCAGAAAGGGCTCCTTGTACAATTGGACACCCCCGAGCACCCCCAGCTTCCGGGAGAGATACTACCTGGTGAGCAAGCTCTGCCCTGGGCAGGGACCCCATGGTGGCCCTGGGGGACAGGCGGTGGGGGGCTGGGTGGGCCCAGCTCCCTCTGTGTTTTTTGGGTGCCATTCCTATGCTGCCCCTCTACTCCAGGGCCTGGGAACTGGTCCTGGGCTTGGCTGGTTCTTCTGGATGCCAGGAACAGGCTCTCTGGAGGCTGCTACCAGCCCAGCCGAGGCTTGGCCTCCGCTTTCTGTTTCAGACATTCTCGCTGTGCACCCCAGATTAGAACAGGGCCACGCTCATGGGATGCAGTGAGGGTTAGTGGGTGACAGGAGACTGGAGCAGGCCAGGTGGACACAGACACCAGTGACATGCTGGCGACACATTACATGTCAGACCAGCCCTTTATTCATCATTCATTGCACTCCTTCAAAACTCTGTGCCAGGCTCTGCTCTTGGCCAGGTGAGCACTGTGTCCTCAGGGAGCCAAAATTCTCAGAGGAAGCAGACAGTGTTGAGATCAGGGAACTGCACAGCCAGCCCAAGGGGCAAAAGGACCATGGGAAACCAGCAGAAGGGTAGGGGGCTTCTGGAGCAGGTGGGAGTTGCATTTAAAATAGGGTATCCAGGGACAAGTTCCCAGAACAGGTGACATTTGTGTAAGTACATGAGGAGGCGAGGGCACAGGCCAAGAAGATGTGTGTGGAAGGGAGTTCTAGGCATAGTATAGTCAGTGCAAAGGTCCTGAGGCAGGAATATGTAAGGCAGCCCAGAGGGTATGAGAAACAGAGAGGCTACTGAGGCTGGAGGGGGCAAGGTGGTGGTGCTGGGGGATAAGGGCACAGAGGTAACAGGGTCCATTTGGCCCCTCTGAGATGGCAGTCTCCATGGCAGACTTGTCAACCTGGCACGAGGGTTGGTGGGGAAGCCCCTTGGGGATCTTGCTGGTCCCTGGGATAGCTGAAGAGGCTGCTCCTATGTCCTCCTCTCCAGTCTGTCCTGCAGCAACCAGCACAGCAGGCCTTGCTTCTAGGTGGGCCAAGGGCCACCTCCATCCTCAGCTACCTGTCTGACAATGACCTTCAGGGCCCCAGCCTGCACAGCCGGAGTCAGGAGTTGCTGGAGATGGACTCCTTCAGCTCTGAGGACCCCCGGGATGCCGAGACCAGCACATCGGCGTCCACCTTGGACGTGGGCTTCCTGCCCTTGGCCATCGGCCCTGCCTCCACCGAAGAGGAGGCTCGGGAGGACCACCCACCCCTGGGCCTGGTCCCACTGGCGGGGAGCTCCTTTGTGGAGCAGCCGGGCTGGAGGAACTTGGATGTGGAGAGCCCCAGCCTGCCCCAGGGGTTCCCCTTGCACAGCTGCGCGGTTCTGAGGAGGCAGAGAGAACAGGCAGAAGGAGAGCCCGGGGAAGGAAGGAACGGGCCAGCGGCAGCCCCAGAGCGGCCTCTGCAGGAGGTCCTGGAGTTATTGAGGTCCACCGGCCCCATGCAGCCCCGGCTCCGGGAGCTGGAGTACCAGGTCCTCAGCTTCCGGGACCGGCTGAAGGTATGCGTCCCCGATGCACAGTGGCCCTGCCCTACAGGCCGTGTGAGCACCTGTGCCAGCATCCTGGCCTCAGCCCTGCATGAGCTGGGTGGCCGGTTTCTCTCTGGACCTCAGTTTTCTCATCTGGCAAGTGGGGACAGCGACACCTCTCACTGTGCTGGCGGGAGGGTGCTGCCACAGGGAAGCCAGGGCTCACCGTGGGTAACTTGCTCCACCGCCAGCCAGAGCCGGGCCCTGTCTCGAATCTTCTGACCCAGGTTTGTAGGCTGCAGCTTGGTGTTAAGAACCCGAACTTGGGGCCCGAGTGGCGCCTAGGAAGGCCCCACAGCCACCTGCCTGCCTCAGGCATGCACCCCACACAGAACCTTCTCCCCAACCACAGCTCATGTCAGGGCCACCGCAGTGCATGGGACTGCTGAGGCAGCAGGGGGCTCTCAGAGGTGCTGACCCAGCCAGATCATTCTACTTTTTCGTTTACACAGCTTAAATGTACATAAAATAAAATGCATCTCACCAGCATCTACTTACATATCAATTAATTTATGAAACCACTCTTTCTGTTAAGATATATCCTGGTGCTAAATTAGCTAACGACTCTCTTCCAAAGTTAGTTTTAATTGTTTTATTCCCACCTCTACCCTCAACATTATGAATCAGCACAAGTGAAAGTTTAATTCCTCATTTCACATCCAGTAACATAAAAAGAACATTTGCTGCTTACTACTCTTTAAAAAAAGACCTGCCTGAAAAATTTAAGGAAAAAGTCTAGAAATAATGTCATCTTTTTTGTACTTTTTCAGTCTTTTTATGTGGGATGGTTTGAGTCAGACACAGACAACTTCTACCACATATTTATACTTCGAAAAATTAACATCCTCTTAAAATAACACCGTAATAACGCAATCATTTAAACTGTCTTTGAGGAATTTTTCTGTTTTTGGCAAACTAAGCAGGAGCCGTGAAAATAATAACAGGTCCTGACTTTGAAGTCACAGACTCGCTCACACGCATTGTGCTGTGTCCAAACGTGTGTGCGTGCGCGTGAGGGACCAGACGTGGATGGGCATGCAGGTCCTGCTCCTCCACGGGTCTGCTTTCTCGGGTTTACTCCTTGCTAAGATGAACTCGCAGCTCCGAATCAATGCGTAAGGTGCAGCCGAGGTCCTTTTCAGGAGCCACAGAGTGGTGGAAAACCGGAGTCGTCTGGTGTCGAGTCCCAGGCCAGGTCGCACCAGGTGACCTCAGCCTTCGCGCTCACCTTTCCTGTGACCACGTGTCCTGTTCTTGGTCTAGTTAGTGCCACACTTTTCAGATTTCTTGTGCATTTTGTCAGCAGCCTCCCTGTGTAAGTGGCCCCCAAGTGCAGCTGGGATGTGGGATAGGAGTGCCGGGTGCAGCTCCTGAGCACAGATGTACGTGTCCAACAAGGCTCTTTCAGCCAGGGCCCAGAAGGCTGTTAGCTGGAAGTTCAAAGTTAATACATCAACGCTATCTATTAAATTGTCTTTTTCTTGTTTGTGCAGTGCTGGGCTGGGGGTTGAACATGGGGTGGCTCTATTTTTAAAAAAAATTTTTGTTTTCAATTTTGAGATGGGGTCTCATTAAATTGTCCAGACTGGCCTCAAACTTGCATTCCTTCTGCCCCAGCCTCCAAATACCTAGCAAATAGGTATTTGCTATTGCACCTGCTTCCTAAGGTATCTTAACAGGTTCTGATCGGCTTGAACTGCTGGTGGTAGATGCATGACCGTCCCATCAGGTGGCTGGTACCACTGGTGGTAGAAGTAGTAGTCATACATGCATACATTGTGAACATGTTAAACAGAAACACACATGAGCCTTTTGTCTTACTTAGTTGGAGAAAATGCCAAGCAGAATTTGCAGAAAACTAACCCAGCATTTTCCCTAGGAGCACGGTCCAGTGCTTGCTAACTCTGCTGCTTTCTGCGACTTTGTAGGAGAACAGTAATCACCTGTATCCGTGTTTGTGCACACATATGTAGATACACACATTTTTGTTCCATCTGGAAATGAAATCTCTGTAACCAGCCTTATTGGTCTCTTGTTGCTTAAAGTTTTCCTCTTTGGCCTCAGCTTTTAGGACCCTCTGCCTGGGCTGTGTCTTGGGTGTAGTTTGTAGGGGAAGAGGCCTGGGTATGCTGGGAATGTGGCTGGAGAGACGGAAGTGTCGAGGAAGGGCATTGCCCCTGGAGGCCCTGGCGCCTTGGCCAGTGGCAGGATGGTGGTCTCAGCGCACCTCCCCTCCTTCCACGGTTTCCTGGAGAATACTGAACCTCACAGGCTCAGCTGCTGCTTCCCAGCCTCCTGCGTGGGTGGGTGTGGCTTGGTCTTCACTATAACTCAAAATAGTTTGAAATTCATTATTGATATATGTAAACACTTGGTGGTTTCCCACAAAACCTCAGGTGTCTGGACCCAGAACACTGCACCGTTGACAACCTGGTCTCCTGTTCCCACGTGCCCACGTGGCGGGTGCCAACTGGGTGAAGCAGCAGGTTCTGTAAGGGAGGCAGCTGCTCTCCATGGTCCCCACCTGGACCGCTCACTCAGTCTTGTCATTTGCCCTGTCCCATGAGTGTTGGGACCCAGATGAGGCTGTTTAGGTCGGTCTCCCTGGAGAGAGGCCCCTCGGGCAGGACCTGGGGAGGGGCACATGCTGCCTGGACAGGGGCCATCGGCTGGTGTGGTGCTGTGGGCTAGGCAGGGCTGTGGCCAGGACACTGGGAGGCCTGCAGGCAGCCCCTGGCCTGTGTCCTGGCTGGGCAGGGCTGGGCTGCCCTCAGGGTGGCTGCTTGTCCACAGCCACGCAGAGCTCGGCAAGAGCGCACCTCCGCCGAGAGCCTGGTGGAGTGCATCCTGGAGAGCTTCGCCCTCCTCAGCGCCGACCTTGCTGCGGACCAGCTGTCCCTGTTTGGGGGCTCCGAGGGCCCCCGGTGAGCGCACCCCATGCCCTCTCCAGGCTCCCTTGGTGCCCCCTCCGCTCGGCCTCCTGGCCCATCCCCGTGCCCCGGCCCTGTTACTCATGGCGCCTCCCCTCCTCTCCCCCAGCCAGGGGACAGTCCTGTCCTGGCACAGGCGGGTCCTCCGTGGCTACCGAGGGAATGACAATGGCCTGCCCTGGCCCTGAGCTTCTTGCTCCAGGGAGTCTCTAAAAATAACAGAGTACACAGTAGACACTGACCCTGACTTCACCCGTGCGCCTCAGTGACCCAAGCTCCCCAGGAACCAGGGCTAGGCTCCTTCAGGACCCTGGCCTCGCTCACTGCCCGGCACACCAGGCCTGAGGGCCTCTCCCGCCCCACGTCTCACAGCATGGGCACAGTCGGCATCCGCCGTCACCTCTCCTCGAGCTGACCCTCCAGGGCGCCAGGCTGTTGCCCTTCCTGAGTGGCTGACGCTGCCCGGGCCTCGGGTTCAGCCCCTGCCCACACCTCACTGACCCCTCCTGCCTGAGCTTGGGCTGCTGGCCCCACTGTACAGATGAGCAGACTGAGGCGCGGGGAGCAGACCTGTCCAGAGTCGAGGAGCTGGAAGTAGTTTGAACCTCAGGCTTCCGAGCCCAGATCGGGTTCCACTCCTCTGCACCCACCCGCGTTGCTGCCCCCTCTCACTCCCTTCTTTTGCTCTTGGGTTTTCTCCTGTTTCACTCCATCTCCCCGGGACCCGGGTTGGCCTCCCTGATCCCGAGCTCTGCAGGGAGGGAAGGTTCCCTCTACCCTCGCAGGGAGCTGAAGTGCTAACCAGAACCATCTCTTTATCCAACTCAGAAAGGATAGGATGACACCCCCACCGCCATCACTGAAGGTGTCACCCAGGGAGCTCACAGCCGGTGCCCCAGAGCTGGATGTGCTACTCACGGTCCACCTCCAAGTCTGCAAGGCCCTGCTGCAGGTGGCCAGGCTGGGCTAGGGCTGGAGTCCTCTTAGGCTGCACCCCACAAGGCAGTGGGACTGTGGCAGGAACAAGGGGCTGCACCCTGAGAGCCAATGATTTGGCCCCTGTGAAGGTACAGGCCAGGGTTTGAGTCACCACATGGCTCCTATTCAAGCCTGGAACTGAGGGTCAAGGCTGTGACTGTCATTTGTAGATGCCAGAACCCAATCCGAACTGGCTCAGCCAGCAGGAAAATGTATTGAAAGCCTCAGAAGTGGGCTTCAGGCCCAGCAGTATCCAGAGGTTCAAATGCCACCATGACTGGGTCCCTCCCTCAGTCTGCCGTGCTTTGCAACAGGGGTTGGCTGTGCTTTCAGGAAAGCTGGTCCCTTTGGGTGCAGAAGTGGTCCCTAACACCTCATTGCCCCTTCTTAGCTCCGGTAGACGGGATCTTGGGGAGCAACTAAGGAGCCACCACTGGGATGGAAGGGGCAGGCACAATGCTAGGGTCATAGCACGATGGTGGACTTCAGAGGCCATGTCCGGGCTAACCTGGAACCTCTCGGCTGCTTCTAGAAACTGGTCTCGCCTAATCTGCCCAGGATGGTCGAGGACTGCCTTGTGGAGGAGGCCACGCAACAAAAGCAGGTTCTGGAGATGCTTTCTGACCTGGATTTTGAGAAGGCCAGCCAGGCGACGTCCGTGGAGGAGAGTAAGGAACTGCCAGCCCCCGCTTGTGAATGGCACAGGGCAATGGGGGCCAGAGTCCCGGGAGTTCGCCCTCCTCCTCCATGTGGGGAGTTGCGGGCAGCCCTGGTCAGTCGGGGTGGATCAGAGACACGCACTGTGGGGGAGGTGACCGTGGCGGGATTAGCGGTCCACCCCACGCCCCCACCAGCTGTGGGACTCTGGGCATTCGCCTCTCTGAACCTCAGCGCCCTCTCTGCACGCTGGGCGGCCACTGCCTAGGGTTCAGCGTGGTAACTGCCAGGCCATGTTTGGGTACACAGCTGGCCCTCAAACAACAGTGCCTGTGACTCCAGTTCGGCCTCTGGCCTCCACGCAATCCCTCTCCGAAGGCTTCATTCCTTGTCCATGAAGGGCTAGTGACAGCTGCCCCTGAGGCATCGTGGGGCCTGCAGGCTGTGACCTGGTCAGGCGCTTGGAGCCTAAGCTCCTTGCTCTGCGCCATGCAGACATGTCGGAAGGAAGCCACGTAGGTCACACCTGACCTCCTGACCTCACAGGCCCCCTCCCCCACCTCGCTGGTCTCTGAGCCTAGGCTTTCAGTCCTTCCGCAGGCCTCTTGCAGGAAGGGCTGCCTGAAGCTGTGGCGGGGGTGCACGGACCCCGGGGGCGTCCTGTCCTGCCCTGCCACCAGGCTCCTGAGCCAGCTTAAGAAAATGTTCCTGCACAGAGTCCGCGGGAAATACCCAGGACAGCTGGAAATAGGTAGCTCCCCCTCCTGTCCCGTCTGTCCCACAAGAAGGGCTGGGCTGAGCCTGGGCATCAGGACAGCAGGCCTCAGTTTCTCCTCCACAATCCCTCCCTCTGGTCAGTGTGCCGCAGGCTACTGGAGCAGGTGGTCAGCTGTGGGGGGCTGCTCCCTGCAGCTGGGCTCCCCGAAGAACAGACTGTCACCTGGTTCCAGTTCCACCGCTACCTGCAGAGGCAGAGCGTCTCAGACCTGGAGAAGCACTTCGCGCAGCTCACCAAGGAAGGTAGGCCCGAGGTGGGCACTGTGTCCTTCCTCACAGCAGAGGTTCCCGCAAAGAAGCATCTGCAGGCCCCACTCTGTCCCCCTCCTGCAAGCCAAGCAGTTTCTGAGGTTACATTCAGAGCCTCTTTGGTTTCCCCTCTAGCTGTTGTTTTTGAGAACCCAGATTGAGTAAGATTCCAGTCAGCTGATACAGGGGAATAAACTCCAAGGATAGGTGGCTTTAAAAAGCACAAGGGGAAAAAAAGCTAGGACAACTACCCCCCCCCCCCCAAAAAAGCACACCTGTATTCCCAGCTACTCAGGAGGCTGAGGCAGGAGGATTGTGGATTGTGAGTTCAAGGCCAGCCTGGGTAACTTAGACCCTGTCCGATTAAAAACACAGACAAAACAAAACAAAACGCACAGTCAGAGTGGGGTAGGAGGGTGATGCTTGGCTGGCCAGAGTCCCTAGAAGTTTGGGCGGCAGCTTTATACATTTTCAGTATGTATCTGGTCCCTTGCTAGAAAGCCTCCCCAATTCCGGGAGGTCCCCTTTGAAACCTGTTGGGACAGGGCTCTGGCGATCCCCCTGCCCGTTCCTGGAGCTGCTTCTCTGCAGACCGTTGCAGCCATACTGCCCGACCCTGAGCTGGAGCCCTGGGCCACTTCCTGCGTGTCCCACTTCTCCCCTGTCCCACTTCCTCCCTGTCTTCCAGTCACGCTCATTGAGGATCTGCACTGCACCAGGCAGGCCAAGGCAGTCAGGATGCTGCAGGGCAAGCGGCTCGGCCAGCTCCAGCCCCTGCCGCAGACCCTGCGCACCTGGGCGCTGCTGCAGCTGGACGGGCCCCCAAGGGTGTGCAGGGTGGCCAGCTCGCGCCTGGCCAGTGCGGTGAGGAACAGAAGCTTCCGAGAAAAGGTACAGTGTGCAGGGGAGGGGCAGCCCCTGCCACCCGGGCAGGTGTGGGGAGTAGGTGTTCTTCGTGGACAAGTGCAAAGTGGGTGATCGTAGCTGCAAGCGCTCGGCGAGATTTGGGGGTAGGGAGGCTCTGAGGAGGCCACACAAGACCTCCAGGCGGGGGCTGCCAGGCCACCTGAGCAGCACACATGACCACAATGACAGCACACACCCTCCTGTTTCTAGAGCAACGTGTCAGGTTGGTTGCTGAGATGTTACTGGCACGGTGGATGTCTTTTTTAGCTTTGATGGTCATCCTCTTGGTGCTGGCTGGTAATAGCACTTTGTCCAACCCATTTGAAAACCAAGAGATCGGACCCCCCTGCTGTTTCCGGTTCTGGGCCTGTGTGACTTCATATTTTCAGGCATAGCCCCTGAGGATAATAGGAGAGGGTGACCGTAGGGCCATACTCTGTATCTTGATCTCAGCTGCAGACTGGAGAGGAAATTGCCAGTAACACTGCTGACTCACCTTGTAGCACATTTACCTTGTGGTCATATTCAACTACTTCTTCTTTTGAACACACACAAAATTACAACGCGACAATGAATCACATGCCCCAGCCATCCAAGTCCAACCTTCATCCATCAATCCATCCCACCCCATGGCATTTTGAAGCACTCTTAGATATCCTATTTGACTTGTAAAAGTTGTGTGTGAGTCAAAAGATGAGAATGCATTTAAAAATCCTTAGCTACAATACCATTGCACAACTGAAAAGAATTAAGCATTCACTCCTTATGGTCACACGGTCCTAATGGTCACATTTCCAACTTTCAAATATCATAGGGATTTTGTTTTTGTTAAACAGGATTGCATAGGCACACAGTGATTGGGTGATGTCTTAAATTTCATTTAACCTGAAGGTTCCAGCTTTCTTCCCCTTGCAGTCTACTTAGTGAAGATACTGCATTGCCCGCTACCATCTTGACTCTGCTGATTGTCTAATGGAGCGTAACATATTTCTCTGTCTTCTATGGTTCCTGAAAGTTAGCAGCTGGCTTTATAGGCTCCGCTGGTTTACTTTGGTTTTCTTGGTGCACCTCCTCATACAGTAACAAAGGCCTCACCGTGGTGGCTCCAGGTGCCTTGAGTTGGGAGGTGGCTGTGTTCCCTTAGCAACAGATACACCGGGCAGACGTGTGACATTTCCACCGCTGTCCCAAGGGCTCTGTCCAGCGTCCCACCTTGGGATTCTGGTGCCTTGCTCCGGCCTCCCTTTTCCCAACCAGCTTGTTATTTTTGGGTGCTGGGGATGGAACCCTGGGCCTCGTGCATGCTAAACACATGCTCCACCAAGCTACACCTCAGCCCCACAATTTTTTCAAAAAGAGCCACCTGTGGCCAGAAAGGCAGCAGGTTCCTCACCACCAGGCCTGTACCTGGGCCCGCTGACCTCACTCCTGCAGTTGACAAGGTGGCCACACCTAGGTCGTGGACACTGGGCTCCCCCGTGGACCGCACACCTCCCCCTTAATCGATGCTCCCGACAAGCAGCAAAACAAGCAACAGCCTGTTAACTGTGGCTTGGCTGCGGCTGTGATGCAGGTACTGTCAGAGCTGGGACCAGGGAAGGGAGACGAGGGGCAGAGACATCCTGGCCTTCAGGCCAGGGCAACGGCCTCGCCCATTTTGAGCCCATGCGGAAGTCTCCCTGCATGCTCAGTTCTCCTCTTGTTCAGCACTGGATGTGCAACTTCTTTGATTTAAGCTTTTTTTTTTTTGGGACTGGGGATCAAATTTGAGTCCTTGTGCCTACGCAGCAGGTGTTGAAACCACTGAGCTAAATCTCAGGCCCTGATTTAGCATTTTATAGGACAGCAATTTGGGAAAGCCTGAGACATTATCAGACAAAAAGAGCTTTCTCCATTTTATTTCCGCCAGCCCCAGGATCAGGTCTGGGGCTAAGTTAAGCCCTGTGGCACACATCTTGGGCATGCACCCCCACCCGGAGACTGCCAGGTCAGTCCTTGGTCTTGTCTGGAGGTGGGAAGAACTTCCTTTCTGCTGGCACTGGCAGGTGCTCAGCCCCGGCCACCAGCTCTGCTTTCCTGGCCCCTCGCCTTCACTCTGGCCCTTCCCTCCCAGGCCCTGCTCTTCTACACCGACGCCCTGACCAATGGCGATGCCAGACTCCAGCAGGCCGCATGCATGGCACTGCAGCAGCTCCAGGTGCGTCACAGTGTCCTCTCGGTGGCTGATGGGCGCCTGCTTGTGGTTAACGCTAAACTAACTGTGTACCTTAGAATGACTCACTGGGACTAAAGGCGGGAGAACAATGGCCAACAAGGGGTGCAGTGGTCAGCCCCCAACAGACCCTGACAGCAGAGGCCCCCTAACACCGGTCCAACATCTGCTAGACTCGGGGAGGCCAAGCAGGTGGCCCCAGGGCCTCACTTCTGAGCTCTTGGGTTATATGCTTTAAAATTCTCAACATCTCCGAGTACCAGACTCACTGGGAAAGAAAAAAATACAGAAATGTGAGTTACCCATCATTCCAGCACTTACCAGAAACAACGTTGGCATTTTGGCATATTTCTCTTTTGTGGGAGTATGCAAGCATTTAAAATTGTTGATCATATGAAACATAGTTTAAAGGCAGGTGTAGTGGTACAGGCTTGTGATCCCAGTACTCTGGGAAGCTAAGGCAGGAGGATGCTAAGTTGAAGTCTAGCCTGGGTAATATAGGGACTCAGCAAGACCTTTTCTCAAAAGGTGGGGGAGCTAGGGATGTAGCTCAGTGTGAGGTTTCAATCACACAGTATTGCACGAGCACACATGTGTATATATACAGACACAGTTTAAAAAATGAACAAAATAAGAACTTTTCGTGTTAGACCAGGAGCACTTTAGAATTCTTCATGAAAAGTCTATCAAGTGTAAACCTTAATTTAACATACTTATACACTCATAGAAAATATAGGCTTTTATCCATTCCAAAAATCACTATGTGCATTTTTGTGCATAAAATTTTCAGAAAACTAATCAGGGTTCTGGATTCCCTCCCCAGGCTGGACTCCTTAGGTGTCTGTCCAAGCCCAGAAAACGTGAGGGGCTTTGAGACTCCTTGGGGCTCCCCGCAGCACTCCTACAGATGCCCCCTTTACCTCTACCTCACCTGCATTAGAATTGTCATTTTAAGACACCACTGCCCACAGGCTAGTGAGAGGCAGTTCAGCACATAAAAAACTCCCTCTCGCCCGCCATTCTTTCCGAGATGAAGGAAGCGGACAGCCCAGGAGGAGCCCCTGGCTAGGGTCAGATGCCCAGCTGGAGGCAGGGGCCCAGCAGAGGGCACTGTGGGCCGGGAGGTGCTGGGACTACGGGACAGGCACCTCCTGTAGGCCCTGGTTCTCCGTGCGGCTGCCCAGGAGCCAGGGTCAGGACAGCCACCAGGAACCAGGTCTCATTTTCAACCTGAGTCTTTCAGAAGTGTCTGTAAAGATGGCCTTGCTCACTCAGAGGTGTCAGGGCTGCAGACGCAGTGCCAGAGGGGCTTCTGCAGGCCCTGAGATCACACTTGTGCCAGTCTCGCAGGACTGACAGAAGTGGATTCGACCTCCTATTTCTTTTTCCTTCCTTCCTTCTTTCCCTTTTTCGTGGTGCTGGGGATGAAACCCAGGCAAGTGTTGTACCACTGCCAGACTCCCAACCTTCTGCTTGTTACCCAAAATGTCCCCCAATGGAGCTTTATTTTCCTACCCTCACACAGGGCATTGAAAGCATTGACCAGATTGCCAGCCTGTGCCAGTCTGACCTGGAGGCCGTGCGAGCAGCAGCCCGGGAAGCCACTCTGTCGTTTGGTAAAGTAGAGCATCGCAGTTTTGTCTAGTGCGTGGGGTCCCTGGGGTTCTTCCTAGAGGCCACATGTAGCCCTCAGACCTGGAACAGCACCTGGGCAGCACTGTCGCCGCCACATTTAGCCGAACCCCGCCCGGGGCAAATTTCCCACACAGCAGTGTGGCAGTGCTTACTCTCCACTTCAGTCACGGCACTCAGTGAACACTCCAGAGGCAAGGCAGGGCTAGAACCAGGCACACTGTCACAGACAGACTCTCACTGGCGTAGGGGCGGCTCACTCCACAAGTCGCCAGGTGGGAGACACCCAAACTCCTCCTGTGTCTAAGTACTAAGGTCACCCAGGGCTGGCACAGTACGACACTGAGGCGGGAGATAATTCCCTGACAGATTGATCACTTTTCTATTTCAGGAGAAAAAGGACGTTTAGCTTTTGAGAAGATGGACAAACTTTGCAAAGAACAAAGAAAAGACTTTTGCCAAGAGGCAGATGTTGAAATCACGATATTCTAAAAAGTCCTAGCAGAGGAGCCCAGACTAGGTGTGTAGAATTTCCTTGGTGCTGCCTAGCACCAGCACAACAGCGAGCTTTGGGTGGGCTGCTGGGCACTCCCCAATTGTGAGCAGGCCAGAGCCTGAGGCTTGGAGCACCCACACAGCCCTGGGCACAAGTGGCACTGCAGGGAAGCAGAGGCGGGGCCACTCAGCACTTCTGAGGCTGCAGCCCTCCGCTCAGTATTCCATCTTCACCTCCAGGAACCTGAGCCTCCTCAGGATGCAGCACTGGCACCAGCCGGCCATTTAAGAAAGGCCTGAGGCCAGACAAGGCCTGGGACTGACGTGTGTGTGGACTCGGGCTTCCCAGTGAGCCGGTCACTCCAGTCCTACTTCCATGAATCCTGGCGCTGAGGAGGCAGCTGGTGGGCCAGCTGGCCGGCTGTGCTAATGAAAGACTGTGGTGGCTCGAGTCATTTCAACAGCAGCTCTGTCACCCTGGTGAGCTAGAGAAAGTGGGAGGCTCAAAGCCAGGATTTCTACAACCCAAACTCAGCCTGAGCTACAGCCAAATGCCAGGGGAGCTTGACAACGGCCGGCTGGCCCTGGGCCTTCTTGTCACCACATTCAACAGCAAGAAGCGAAGACGACAAGAATGTCAAGGCCTGAGCTGTCCGTTCTGGCCATTATGAATCAAAATGGAATCTAACTTTCAAAACACATCAACCTATGGCCAATTAAATAAATTGCTCCAGAAGCCAGAGCTGGTTTGAAGAAAGATTCCACCAAAGAGCATGTTACTTTAAAGAAAGAAAATTTGTTTCCTATTTAAGTGTATTTAAAAAAAAAGAGTCCTGTGTCCTTAGATGCCTGTGTTAGTAATTGGAGCTGACTAGGGATTTGAGCGCTGCTGTCAACAATGGCATTGGAGAGCTTTGTAACAAACATTTTCATTTAAACTTCCTGTATATACTTTGTGCCTTTGGTTTAACTTTGTATTTATTTGCCTTGTTCATACGTTCCAATTTCTGAAATTTCAAATAAAAAGCTACTTTAGTGGGTATTTCATTTCACCTGAAAAAAGTAGATTGTGGCTGTTTTCCAAGGTGGCCTGCGGGGGAGTGAGCCCTGCACCCTGTGCCCTCTCCCGGCACGACTGCGAGACATGAGGGCACATGGATGTGGGGGGGAGGGTGGCCTCAGGCCTCTTTGGCTCCCAGGGTGCCCTCTCCTGACGGACACCCATCCTGGAGCTCGGCCTTTGGCTCCCCTTGATTTCTGCCCCAAGTCATACATTTAGATCTATTTTGTTTCACACAGGCACCCTGCCTGTTCTTGAAAGCTTACTGCCATTTTTCATCTCTGAGCCCTTATAGGGGACAGGGGACTGACACTGCTGCCGACTGCCCAGGCTCCTGTGGCGTTCTGAGGTCACCTGGCCACAGCAGTATTTGCTTCCCTGCTCTGGGGGCCCTGCTAGGAGGTCACAGCCCAGAACGTGGGAGGATGGGAAGAAGTTCTTTGCTATTTTTGCAACGTTGTGCAAGTCTGAAACTTCAGAACAGGAAGTCAGAACATCCCTTTGGGGAGATTCATCGTTCAGTTTTGTGCACAAAAGACTGTATTAATTTTTTATATCTCATTTTAATTTCTAAATCCTGTATCAGGTGTGACTTCACTGCCATACTGAGATGTGGGACCACTGTGTTTGACAGGCAATCAGGTAAAGGACGGTTGTGAGGTTAGACTGGGTCTTCCAACCACTTGCTAGGTCCTGTTAAGTAGTATCCAAGCGCCCTATACAATCAAAGGGTGGGAGTCTGAAGGCAGTGGCCAGAGGCCTGAAGTGGGGTGTGAACACTCTCCAGCCCGAGTGCTCAGAACCCCAGGGGAATGACTGCTTGACCAACACCATCTACTGCAGATCAGCCTGGATGGGGGAAACAGTGGCCCGCCCTGGTTCAGGTCCATTAAGCAAAGAAATGGGAAGCATCCCCAAGCCATGTTCTTTAGAAAAAAAGTTTTTATTGTTGCAACTAAAATGCAAACCCATCATTGATATGGCAAGTTGGAAAACTGTACAGTATAACAGTTCTGTGAGGTCACAGAAGACCCTGAGAACGCCCCCCACCCACCGGTCATGCATCCACATATACACACACCTGAAAAGGTATTTATACCGAACACCTCACTTTTTTTGTTTTTATTTTTGTAAAAATGGTTTATTCTGCGGCCACTGTAAAAAACAATGGCCGGATGAGTAAATATTGGCTTAAGGCATATAGCAGAGCAGCTCGCTACCTCTCTAACATATGCATGACAAGATGGAGAGCCACCTGCCCCCAAGGACAGGAGCTGAAACCAGGACAGCCACTGGAAAGTTATATCCACACCCAAACGACTACACACAGATACAGGACCCTAAGAAAACAAGCCCAACTCAAAACTGCTCACAGCCCGGCAGCAAGCCGTATCCACACCTCACCATGGCTGCACCTCAAATATTCCTGCCACGGAATCGCTCTGTACTGGCTTCTCCCACGTGAAAGGCAAAGTGTGAAAACGCTGGCAAGAGAGCAGCTTGGGAGCTACAGCTGCCTTTTTGTTTCTTGTTAAAAAAGCCACCGAATGTGGAGGTCTTAAGTTCCTCTTGAGGAAGAGTTGTGAGCACCGTCAGTCCCCATGGGGCTCAAGGGCAGGCAGACACTAGGGGCAAGGTGAGCTAGGACGGACACGAGAGGCCGCAGGCTGACTCTAGGGACCATCACCCAGGCTGTCCCGGGGAGGGGGTTCCCGTGGCTGCGGTGCCTCCACACCACAGTCTGCTCCAGGGCAGCACAGGCTTGGAGTGGAAGAGGCCCATCCCAGGGGCGGGGCGGGGACCTTGTCTGCCTGAATGTCCAGAGCGTGAGGTGTGAATATGGCTGGCCATACCCTTGGAATGTCTGTTACAGCGAACCCGGCTAGACAGGACGGGCCGGGCCTCACCAGGAAGTGACCAGAGTGTCATGGCAGGAATTAAGCCATGATGTGCTACTGGAAATCATCATCGCTGTCCTGCGGAATGGCGGTTACTTCAGCAACAGCCTTAGGAACCACAGTCATGTGATGGTCAGATCATGCAGAGGGGACCGGACTCGGACACGGGCCCATTAGTAAGCAGGACCCTAAGTCTCTCGTTTCAAGCACGTGGTATTTCACGGGGACACAGAAGGCTGTACATGCATTCTAACACACAGGGAAAGTGGTGATTGAGAACAAGGTCCTAGTGGATAATGGGGGAGGAGAAGACCCGGGACAAAGTCATCCCACATCGTGTATCTTATTAAATACCCAAGTGTTCATTATATATTATAGCATTGTTCTATCTTCTCACAGTACCCACAACATTGCTACACAATGACTGCTTACAATCATCCTCCTTCCCAGCACTGGGCTCACGCAGCAGGCTCACGGCAGTCTTGCATTCCCAGTACTACCTGAGGATTTATGACTGTACTTTTTGATAAAGCCCCTGATGCAGGCTGACATCAAAAAATTTTAATACATTATTGGCTTAAGGAAATGCTAGTGCAGTATGGATGCCCTTGGGGAAAAAATTAAAAATAAATAAAGAGCGGAGAGGCTTAGTCCACATACGCAGCATGGAGACCTCTGGGGGAAAGGTGGTGTGCAGCCCTCCAGGACACACCGACAGGGAGTGCTCAGCTGGGCAGAGCCGGAGATGAGAGGGCCGCCACCCGCTGTGCCACCAGGGCGGTCTTCTTTGCTCTTTCCAAAAGTGGTTGTGGATTTGGGTCTCATGGAAGGAGGAGGGGAAGCAAAAGGAGAAGGGGGAGACACACCGCCCAGAGAGGGGGTCTGAGTGCAGAGCGTACACTTCCAGGCCCGGCTCTCTACGCTGGCTGCCCAGCGGCCCTTACCTACCACGGCATGCCTGGGAGCAGGGCCGGACACTGGGTGAGGTGGGGGAGGGTCAGGTTAAGTGTTGCTGTTGAACAGGAACTGGAATGGAACCAAACATTTCGGATGAGCCCAGACCCATGCGGCAGAGGCATGTGACTCATGCATGACCCCGGCCACACCCACCTCCAAGGGAGCCACTAGCTGAGGGGAATTGGGGTTTTTTTCCAATGACCTCTTCCCCAAAAATCACCCCTAAGGAAAAAATGTTTGCCTCCTCCTAAACCATCCGACACACTGGAAGATGGCCACCTGGAAAGAGGTAAATATTTCAATGGATGAAAAAAGCCCTGTGAGACATTTTCCATGGTTGCTAAGGCTACCCCGGCCCTCCCCATCCTGTAACAGCAGCAAGCTTCTAAAGTGTGGATTTTTACCAAAATGGCACTTATTCTCTAAATGAAGTGGAAACCATGGGGTGAAATGCCAGCAGCCAGCCTGGGGTGAACCTGACTCCGAGCAGGGGCCTGCAGGAATGGTGGTGAGGGCCGGTGCATGAGTGAGAAGGCTGTCACAAGGAGGGATCGGTGGGGAAATGAGCAGGGACACCCTGAGCAACGCGGAAGCTGCACTCTGTTTTCTAGAGATGCCCTGTGGTGTTCTCTTCTTGGAAAAGGAAAGCTCACAGGCACTGTCTAGGCTCAGGGTGCGCGGCGGAGGGGCCCGCAGTGTCCTAACCCTCTTCTCCAAGGAAGTTTACATTCGTAAAAGTTTGGGGTTCTTTCCCTGGGAAATCAAATATAAATTGTGTATCTCATTACACCACCTAGTAAGGGTACAAGAAAGTTTTGTAAGTGCCTAGTCTTTTTTCCAGAAATAACAAAAAGCTGCTTTTTATAAAGGTTAAAAACAACAATGTGTTGTAATTCTATTTTTTCAACAACAAATGAACAACAAAAAAAGAGAAAGGGACAGAGAGAGAAAGAGGAGGTGGGGAAGAAGAGAGTGGGAAGGAGGGAGGGAGAGAGGGAGAGAGGGAGAGGGGGAGAGAGAGAGAGAGCGAGAGAGAGAGAGAGAGAGAGAGAGAGAGAGAGAGACATATTTGGCATTTTCTCTACTTACTCCTGAATAGGTTAAGGCCCTGAGATTAGACTCTTATATTCTTGGGACCACAGGGCTCCTTAAAACCCCAGTGCAGCAACCCTTACTTCTCTCTTTAGCCCTTCCACAGTTGCAGACTTGAAACACCTTTGATCCGTGCCTTCTGACACTGGCTCAGACGCTCTGCAGCGGTGTATCCGGTGTATCCGGTGTATCCGAACACCGGGCTGCGGCCAGTGCTTCCCGGGCTCGCTGCGCCTCGCCTCGCCTCGGTCAGTGGAAACACACCCTGTAGCAGAGGTACGCTCCGGCCGTGAGCACGGTGGCCATGCACACGTGGACCAGGAAGGGCTTCCAGGGCGGGAGTGTGTGCTCCTGCTCCTCCGCCTCCTTGGGGGGCGCCTGGCCCTGGGCGGGGAAGGCGGCTTGGGTGTTTCGCAGACCTGCACCCGCTGTCCGACTTCTGATCTCAGTGTCTTGACTCCTGCTGAGAAGGAGGCAAGGGATGGGTTAGTCGCCTCAGGGAAACAGACGCCAAGGACATTGTTATTATGGAGCGGTTCTACGCAGGAACGTGATGGTGACGCTGACCCGTGCCAGCCAGCTGGAGGGCAGGGCCAGAACTGGCATCAGCCCGAGGCCCACTTGTTACCCCCAGCCCCTGGCCTCCAGGCAGCCCGTGTGCCTGGGTAATTGGTCCGTGCGGCTCTGCTAGGGGCAGGCCCCTGGCGCGTGCGGTGCGCGCACCTCACGTTCTCTCTGCTGCTCCCACATCCGGCCTGTTGATGCACGCAAGACCCCTCTAACAGCAGCAGCATGTCCCTCGTCCCGGACGCCCCCAACTGTCTGCCTTCTCACCACTGCCGAGGATGCTGCAGTGAACCCAGCCACCTCCCCATGTCTGTACGCTTGTCTGAGAACCGCTGCAGGCTCTGCCACTCGGAGCCAAAGCGCACCCCCTGAAACTTCCCTCCAGAAAGCAGGCACCCAGGGCACCCTGCCAGTCACCCTTCAAGCTTCCGTGCAGCGCCTCTTCCTAGAGGCAGCCTTCTCTGACCACCTCAGCACCCACCACAAAACGCCCCACATCTGCTGAGTTCCCAACAAGGTGGCCGACGGCAGACCCGGGACGTTCCAGGTTTATCTCAGCACTGTGTGCATCACCAGGTGCTCGGTGAGGTTTGTGTCAGTTTAAGGAGGCAGAATGCAATGAATTTTATCACAACGCACGGAAGGTTACGTTCCGCAAGGTCCCTCGTGGGGACTGAAACTGTGGTCAGCTGGACAGAAACTGTGGCCAGCTGGACATCACATTTCAGAGCCCGCTAGAAGCCTAGGGCGGGACCCTACTCAGTTATGCTGAGCCAATTCCAATCAGTGCCACAAGGTGGAGCTAGAGCCCTATGGAAGCCGGTGGCCTCCTGGAGCCACGGGGGACTGGACAGAAGAGGGCATCCTCCACCTGGAGAGGGGCAGCTCTCCAAGGTGGCCGCATTTCCCAAGGACGTGGACTCAGGGCTTGCAGAGGGGGAGGCTGCAGCCCCAGGCTCTTGCGACCAGCATGTATTTCTGGAACAAGGGGTCACTTCCCCTCACCCCTACAAGCCGGACCTCTCACATTACCTGTCCATGCTGTAGGGGACACTTAAGGGAGTTCTGGTTTCTTCCTTGATGGGGCCATCTTTATCCTCCTCAGTCTCATCCTTTACCCACTGGTGGTTTGAGAAGAACTCCTTGCATTTGCCATTGTGTGGCTCCAGGACTCGTTTGGGTGGCCGGGGAGGAGGGGGCACGTGCTCGGGTGGGGGCTCCAGGTCCTCGTGGGAAAGCTCCTTCCACTGATCCTTAAAGAGCAGAAGAGGAGCCCATGAGTGTTCACTTCCGGCTGACTCCAGGAAACCCACTCTCCATAAGTGAGCCGTGCTACTGCCTTGGCAAGGGGCTCTGGGCTTCTCGGTCTCAGCCACACACTTGGACGGTGAAATCTTTAGAAAATCACGTCTGTGTCCAGTCAGTGCCTTCTAGGTGAGCACTTCAAAGGCAGAAACTGGGACTTGGTGAACACCTAGAAAACTTTGGGGCTATTTTAAATACAAAGGGCAGCTGTTTCCTCTGACCTGACAGGGAGGGAACTCTTACAACTGACAGTCCCCTTCAAACACAAAGCTCGGGTGGGGGTGTGCAGCTCAGCCTAGCATGCAGAGGTCTGGATTTGACCCCCAGCCCACAAAACCAACAACAATAAAAAGACAAAACTGAAAGTCCCTGCACTTGGATCTGGCAGACGCAAAGCTGACCTGCACCGAGGAGTCTCCCATGATGAATTTGGCACCTTCGATCACAGCCAGGTAGGAGAAGCGCAGCTGGTCAGCCGTCTGGATCAGCCCCATCCGGAATTTCCTCATTTCCAGCAGCACTTTCTTGATGTCCACAGACGAAGGGTCTTTCCTCTTGTCCATCTGAAAGTCAGACAGGAGACAAGACTCAGCCAGCTCGAACTCTCTGGTGCATCACAACTTCACACTTCCTGCGGTAGGAGCGCTCTGGTTTCTAACTAGGAAAATCACAGAGGGCCAGGCAGAGAAATTCCAGAAAAGTGGCAAAATTGGGACCCTTTGGGCACAGGGTTGAAACAATTTAGAACAAGACAGACAGCCTCTGGCTACCTGGATTCTACTTTAAAATTGGAAGCAACCTCTAAAAAGAGCAATTGGAGGCAAAGCCACATTACCGTGGAGAAGCTGTTAAAAAGCAGAAATCAAAGCTTGGTGTGGTGGCACATGCAGGTGATCCCAGGACTTTGGGAGCTGAGGCAGGAGGATCACGAGTTTGAGCCCAGCCTGGGAAACTAGTAACTTTGTGAGACTGTCTCAAAGTAAAAACTGAAAAGAAAGGGCCAAGGATGTAGCTCAGAGCAGAGGCCCTGGATTCAATCCCCAGTACTGAAGAAAAATAAAAAGCAAAGGTCAAAGCTAGTTGTTGCCTGAGGAATGCACGCGGGGGGACAGTAACTGGAGAGCTGTGGCCAGGCAGGGTGGGGTTCAAATGCGTCTCTTTCTCTCTGGGAGCCTCAGAGGCTTCCTCACCAGCAAGAGGCAGGTGTCAGCCAGACAGAAGGTCCCCGACCTGCCGATGCCAGCACTGCAGTGCACCACGATGGGGCCATGCTCTGCACTGAGAGACCCTGACTCGCGAACTTTGAAAAGAAAGTTCAGGAATGAGGCTGGTGACTCAGGGACTCCAAAGTCAGGCCATGTGGTATAGTGGAAATGTAAGATCTCTCGAGTTTCTTGAGTCTGAAAGAGAAAAACACATGTGATGATGCTAAGAATCTTCTGTACAGGAAGCACAAAACTCCAAGTGCACGACCCAGCTGTGTTCACTCTGTCCTGCAACAACTTCTTGTGCTGCATCTGAATTCTATTCGCCCAGCAAGCATGCTTCCAGAGCTTTCCAGAAGTCACTCTTCACGTCAGCTTTGCCAGCGCGAACAAGCACATAATCCCCAGGCGCACTGCCAGGCGCTGCCACGCTATTCCTGACACTCACTCCTCCGAGAGCCGCCCTCCATCCACCACCTGCCGGCCCCTCTGCCAGGCTACACCAAGGCTGTGGCTCCAATGCCATGCAGCAAGGGTGGCAAAAAGCACTGGGGACAGGGGGCCCTCAGCACGCCTCGGAACCTCGCAGCCTTGGGACCACGCAGCTTCGGCCTTTTCTGTACTCAGGCAGCATGAACCAGATCTAGATCTTTCTCCAACTATGAACTGAGCAACAGGAGCCCCGAGGGCTCTAAAGCAGGATGCGAACCTCACTCAGAAGCAGAGCCTGCACTTCAGCACAGCCCAGGGAACCCGCTCCAGTGCACGTGCTCCTCCTTCCCCGCCGACTTGCCGGACCACTCCCCACACATCATGGTACTGCACCCATGGTGCCTGTGACTCCTGCCCACATGTGACCTGCTGGACCCCCTGCAAAGCCTTAGTGACATAAGAAGAGATGGAGACACGTGGTGATATCCCTTGCCCCAAGCCTGACGATCCAGAATGGCAAGGCCAGGATCCAAGCCTGGCCAGTTTGGGTCCAGGAGTTGGTGGCTGGCCAGCACGTCTATTAGTTGATTTTTATTCCGGTACCAGGAATCAAACTCAGGACTTTTTAGTTGAGAGGCAGGTGTGGTGCCACTGAGCTAAGTCCCCGGCACAGCAGGTCTATTAGTATCCCCTGGGACTGTCTGAGCCCTTTCCACTCCTCAGAGCCATGCTCCCGCTGAATTTTTCTGAATGCTCACGGGCAGGGCCTCTTGGGGGCACAGCTTCTTAGCACAGTGCCTTGCTGTGTTCCAAGGCCATCTTGGAGTGACAGCAATCAGCTGGTGTTACAAATTCTTCCCACAGCGGATAAACCCAAGACCTCACCGGGACAGCTCCTCTGGCCGAGGAAGTGGGGTGAGCCTGGGATAGGCGCCTTCCTCTCATCAGACCGAGGGACGCTGGGCCCGAGGAAAGGTAGCACGCTGTGCTGGCACGTAACTTGCAGGCCACCACTTCAGTCCTTCCCTCCACAGCCGCACAGGCAAGGACAGATCATTTTTACGTGAGAAACTGCCTTTCCCCTAAGAAGGTTAGAGATCCATGTAGAGGAGGAGGACACGTGCGTGACCTCCACTTCCCAGGCACCCTGGTCCCTTGGGGTGAGCTGTGTTCACCACAGTACCGAAACCACCCATATGCCGGGTGGGTGAGGAACATCACCCAGGGGAAGGGGTCGCCCAGCCAGCACCCCCACCCAGGGTCTAAGCGCACGGCACACTTACTGTAAGGTTTTCCAGTTCTAGCTGTCGTACTGTATAATATGACTTGATGTCTTCTGAGATCAATGTTAACTTCAGATTTGTGTCATCAAAGATCATCTCTTTTTGTTCTTTTTCTGGCCAGTACTGTGCACATTTTAGCTAAGGGAGGAAATAACACTGGGTTATTGTAAGCAATTGTTTTCTTAAGACAGGAGGCTTGTAGCACATACCATGAGCTTTGTGACAACGTGAAGCCCGAGGTTCTCTGAATGTGGAGGACACGGTCAGCACAGCAGGCTGTCTCTCGGGAGAATAGGAGGGCTGTGAAGATGCTGACCAGGCTGCTGTCACTTCCTACCTGGCACCTCCTGGCTTCCACAGCAGTGGGCCACCACTGGGCTCTAGCCCACCAGCTAGGCGAGAGGCTGGGCTGCACAAAATGTTTTGCTTCTCAACAAGTGACTTTATGTGGCCATTTCAAACATTGGCAAGACCGGATCGATCTGCCAGCACAGTGCACAGACACCTCCCCCTGGGAAGAAACTTACGGCAATGAAAACAAGTCTGAAGACACTGCTGGCGGAACACTTCCAAAAGGCTAAAGGGTGGAATCAGATGCAAACTAATTTAGGCCGTCCTGGAGGGGCTTGGGATCAGCCTTTCATTCTGGCTTGGTTTAATTCATAAAAATACTTTGATGCTCTCCCTTGATAACTTCAAAAACTACTTAATGATCTTGATTTAAATGCAGATCATTAAGGCTTTCTTGAAAATAAGCAAACACACAAAGCCTTGGTTTCATTGGAAGAAAGGACTTTGACTTACATTCAGTGGCATACTTTGCATGAACCAGATATTTTGCTACACAGACACTTCTAGTTTCGATGACTATGCTGGACAAACACAGCAGGTGGGCAGGGCTATGCGGCCAGTCTCCCAGCAGGATGACAATTAGCCCAGCCAGGGAAACCTAAGGCCTTGTGAGTCTCACCCTGGAGATGTCAGCGAGCGTGCGTGTGTGGACAGCTCTTTGGCAAGTGACACTTGTAATTCACACGCACTGACCCACTGGCTACCCCACTGGGCAGAGGATGGTGTGGGTGGAGGGTGCTGCTTCGTGGCCAGGCCCAGCAGTGACAAGGTGGACAGTGGGGAGTATGCAGGGGGAGATGCTCTGGCTGTGCCATGAGGATTCCGAGGGGGAGATGTTTCAGGCTGGCCCAGGTTACAAGAAAGAGAGGTTAGGGCAGCGGGGAGGAAGAGTGTCACCTGGGCAGTGGCTGTAAAGGTCCAGGCTCAGGGGAGCAGCAGGAGATGCACCCCATGGGGGTCCCTAGTACAGCAATGCTGTTCCTGTGCCCAGGAACCTGCCACACTGTCTGGGGACAAAGGAGGAGCTGGGCAGCTCTTGAGGAAGCTGAAGCCAGAGCTGTAGATGCCTCCTGGTCCTGCTCTACTGAGGCTGGAAATTGCCCCCAAACAAAACTAAAGCAAACAGCAAAAAGTGAAAGAAACTAAAGAAAAAAATCTCTGGGTGAGATGCCAATGTAGTAGCATACTTCACAGTCCCAGGATAGATGCCAGCAGGGCTTTCTCAAGGGCCCAGATGCCAGTGTTTTTGCAAGGCCTGGCCTGTTCCACCCACGTCATTTCCCCCTATCAATGATGAGCTGCTCAGACGAGCCCCTTGGACCGGCCCCACCTGTCTGTGTGGAAGCAGTGCTGCCGCTCTGGACACAGAGGAGCTAACTGTATGCCAAGGTCCCAGTGGAGCCAGAGTGTGTGGGGCAGCCAAGAGCAGGGCTTCAGGAGAACTGGAAAGGGTGCATTTCGTCTCACATTTCAATGGTTAGACTTTGTCTGTCATCTTTTTTTTTTCTTTCCAGTACCAGGGATCGAACTCAGGACCTTGTAGTTTCGAGGCAGGCGTGGTGCCACTGAGCTAAATCCCTGGCCCTCAACAGTTAGACCTTGTAATGCTTCAAGACTCCAAAAACAAAGAGTCTGACTTGATGGGCTCAAGGCCACCTGTGCCGAAGTGGGTACCCAACAGAGAGCAGAGAGAAGGAAGCAAAATGCAGGACGGCCATTGCTGCAGAGGAAGAGGCTGACACTGCTCTCACCTCATAAGCAGGGCAGACAAGCTTTTATCTAAGTCTGTCCCACATGGCAAACACCTTCAGAAGCAAATATAAAGCTTAAGCTTGTAAGGTGGGTAAAAACTAAGATTATGGAGAAATTCTGGCATACAACCAAGGACCCATCAATTAGTCTTTAATCTGACGAACTTCCTAGGCATGGTGGCATATGCCTGTAATCCCAGCTACTTGGGAAGCTGAGGCAGAAGGATGGTTACGTTTAAGGCAACCTGTGCAACTCAGGGAGATCCTGCCCCAAAATGAAATAATAAAAAGTAAGCAGAAGACCACTGCTTCATCACCCTATCACACTGACACTTACCAACCTGAACAGGAGACTAACTTTCAGTGGAAAGCAGTCCATGGGGCTGAAGGTGTAGCTCAGTGGTAGAGTGTTAGACAGCGATGGATCTTCAGGATGCTCCCCTGGGCCACCCTAGCCAGGAATGTGGCAGTGCCAACCTGCTGGTGTCACCAGAGTCCCCATGTCCACCACGAAGGCAGGTGTTAGCAAGAGTCTTTGGGGCCTTTCAAAGCAAACAGCGAGGCAGTCTGAAGAAGAACCCACGCAAGTTATCTACGTGGTCCTGAGACAGATGATTTGCTTCCCCAAAGAATTCTTAACACAGACAACTCACTGGGGAGAGTCTGAGACACATGTGAAGCCTAAACTGCCTAACGCTAACCCAAAATGCAGTGTCCTGTGCATGAAAGCACCTGAGCTCCAGCGGGCCGTGTTCTGGAGTGGCAAACTAAACTGGCCTGGCTGATTTTCCCTGTCCTGTGTAAACCACACCCCCAACCCTTACACACAAGCACACTCCATGTTGACATGTCTAAAGTCAGTTTTCAAAGTGAACCAGGGCCGGGGATTTAGCTCAGTGGTTCCACCGCCTGCCTGCCTCGCAAGTGCAAGGTCCCGAGTTTGATCCTCGGTACCAAGAAAAAAAAAAAAAAACAGGAACCAACAAGAACTTTGGCCATCGGGACGACCCCAAGCTAACACACAATCACCCGCACAACTGGTTTCCAGGAAGCACATGCAAGGCCCTACGAGGTAACAGGCAGGTTTCCCCAAAGCAAGAGGGGACATCCTATACTATTTGGAGAAGGAAGGAAACCAGGAAGCAATTGTGCTCCAGAGGGAAGTCCCAGCAAGCTGCTTTCAGCACAGGCTGTGGGGATCACTTAGAGTCGGGAGGGTAACCGAGAAGACACTCGCTGCTCCCCAGCATTCTCCCCAGCTGCCCCTCTGGGAGTGAGAATGTTGATGCAGAATTGAAAATGTGGATGCCGAAGAAACTTCAAAACTCAAACCATATACTGTTTTTCATGCCAATCTGCATGCTTGAATAGCCCTGAGTGCACTGGAGTAGTCACCAAGGAAAACGAGAACTATCGTCCCATCTTCACAGTAAACTACAATAAAGCCACCAGCCACAGCTTTTGATGGCCAACACTGTGACCCCAGGGGAGAGGTTGTGGTCTATTTATGGGCAGCCTTGGGTGGGAGACAACTAGGTGCAGGGCCTGGTGATGAATATGCACTGTGATGAATATGCAGTTGCTAAAGCAAACTGTGTGCTAACAGCAAAGAGACTTTACTGGAAATTCTAGCAACAAACAAATTAGTAAATAAAAGGCAAATCCTACATCTGATGGTTTCTGAATAAATATTTTGGCTTTGAATTTCCAACCCTCCATATCATCTAGAGCAGTAGTTCCCAGTCAGGGCAATCTGCCTGCAGGGGACAGTGGACAAAGTGTGGAGTCCAGCCGAGGAGGCCTATCTGAACGCTGCTTTGGGGCTGGGGTACTCCTGGTGGGCAGTGGCCAGAGACGCTGCTGAACGTCCTAAAACGCCCAGGAACCCCCCCCCATGACACCCCACCCCGCCCCAAAGTGAAGAAGGGCCCAGAAGCCCAGAGGCGAACACGTGCTGCCTCCACAGTACACATGGCAGAGTTCCCCTGCAGAGCGAGTGCAGTCCACAGGACCCTACTGGTTTGTGTCTTTATTCATAACGCTGATCACAGTGGTGCTGGACAGGGCTCGCTTCACACCTGCAACTTCACATTTTACTACTGTGCCACAGAAGCAGAGAGAAAATAATGAAGTCACTTTCGCCGAAAAAGAATTTCCTAAAATAAGGAGCATCACTTCCTCAGCTGAACATGGAGGCAGGCTCCATACCAGTTCCCACAGTGCAACACACACGTTCATGTTTTACACCATGGGCAGAGGCAAACAAGGCCAAACTATGAACCCAGGACATCCCGCATGCGCTCTCCCGGGAGGGCTGCTTTCTCAAGTAAGCGTGTGGGGAGGGAGGGGAGGGGCGGCTTTGTGGCCAGTGCTCCAAGCTCTCGCTGCAAAGTTCCCTTTGATGCGCTCCTTCTCTGCACTGGTACTTTTCCCCCTCTGGGCCATGCCTGGGCTTCCTTGGCTATGGCTTCTGCAGAGCCCTCATGCTCTCTGGCAGGCTGGAGGTGGCCGGGACAGTGCCAGGACCTGGCGAGCCCCAGGGACGTCCAGTTCTCTGCTCCAGCCCGCACTTCCAGATGGGCCCCACAACCCTCAGCTCCTCTTCTCCTGGGCTTCACCTCTGAAGCTGGAACCCCAGACGTGCTAGCAGAGCCCAGGGAAGGATAAGGAGCCCACCGGTGCTGCTGAATGCCAGCCTGGGGTCCTGCCCGCAAAGTTAGTCTCACAGAAGAGAGGCCGTCAAGGAGCAGGCACAGCAGAGAGGAAGGCGACGGCGAGAACGGCTGGGGCAACTGCCCGTAGCAGTCTGAGGGGTCAGGGATGTGATGAAGGTGGGCGCTGTGACGTAGACGCTTGGCTCAGGGAAGAGGTTAAAAAAGAAAGCTTGTCCTGGCTGGAGCTGGAGAGTAGGAGAGAGGGTGGGGAAGCAGGGCTTGACGCTCACGCTTCTGTAAGCCACACCACGTGACCCTGCGAGGCGAGAGCGAGAAAGATCACTCTGGACACCCAGTGAGGAACGGACGGGGGCAGCGAGCAGAGAAGCAGGGTGGCTACAGGGAGAGGTGCAAGCGGGGATCGATTTAACAGTTGCAAAGAACTCGAAATGATACAACTCCTGAAGGGCACCTGTCTGCGCCCAGAGACAACGCCACAGTGAAGCAGTGCGGCCGAAAGCTAAGCACTGGGGCCTTTCATGGCACAAGTCTAACCCAGCGGCCAGCTGCTCCCACAGCTGTGCATAGCCGACTCTGTGTGTCAACAGGAGCCACACGGTGACCAGCCAAAGAGGTGGGTACAATGAAGACAGATCCACTGAAACAGCGCTTTCCAAGAACTATGTTGACTCACCTGCTATAATACAACTTCAGCTCAGAAAGCTCAGGAGAGAGCTGCACAGAATGACTGCATCAAGCTCTGCAGAGCCTGTCCTATACACCTGGGTAATGAGTCGAGGCCTCACTTACTTTTTTCTCCCTTTTTATTCACTTAATTGACTTGCTTGCTACAAACATGTATTTATACATTGTTGCTTTAAATTTTAAGTGAAAAATTAATATCCCATGTGAGGGAAGTACAGAAGCAATAAAAAAATACGGAAACTCAGATGAAAATGGTAAGTTTATAGGCCCGCACACAGAGGGCAAGAGGAAAGCAGTACACAACTTACCGACCCTTTCTCCATCACTCGGTTGAGCATGACCACGCCCCTGCTCTTCTGCTCCCACACCATCTCCCAGAAGTGCCCGCACGTATTGGGCAAAGGGCCCTGCAAACACATAATTCCACAGCGTGTGACACCGGAAGACAATCATCCTGTGGTGAGCTCACCTTTGGCGGTTATCAGGTGACAGTGTCCTGAGTCCTCACCAGCTCAGGCAGAGGAGTGGCCTCTCCCTGCCCAGGGAGCGGTCAGGGCAGTTCTAACATCTACCATGCAGGGAAAGGTGATTCTCGTCCCTTCTACTTCCCCGTGCGGGCAGCCAGCCGTGGGGCTCTCTTGCCTAACGGCAGACAGAAAGTGGAACAGAACAACTAGGGGCAGGGCAGGGGGAGGACGGGGCAGTGACCAACTATGAGACACTTGGTGGTTCCAGTCCGACTCCAATCACTAATCATCTTGCCACTAATCATCAGGCAAGCCACTTCACTTCTCAGGCCTCAGTTTCCCCTTCTGCCTCACTTGACTAAAAATAGTACCTCTTCATAGGGTTGTGAAAATTTATCTATATTCATATATGTGAAAGACTTAGTGCAGCCCCTGGAATGCAAGTACCCAATGCAACATGAGCTAATGTTCTTCCTACTACTGAAGGACCTAACTACCTACAGCCTTCATCCTCGGACCAGGACATCAGGGATGTGGATGCACAAATGGTCATTCAGGTGGCCCAAGGGGTTCGGTGTCACGGGGGCATGGTGAGGAGCTAGACTGGCTAGCTCCAGCCCACCAGGTGTTTCTTGGACACACGTGTGAATGCCTTGAGTTCCTCCCAGCTGTGAGCACTGCCTAGGAGCAAGGTCACTCATCGCCTCCCTTCCCCTCTGGAGATCGGGGCTTGTCACTGGCTCAGGCCAGCACCACATCCAGAATGGTTTCCATTCTCACCTATTTTCACCCCTCAGTCATTCCATCTTTCTCTTTACTTTCTTACACTTTCCTTGGCCACGCCAGCCTGGGGTATCCTCTCACTTTCTTCCTGGACTCATCTCAAACCAACTAACTCAACCTGTGTCTGAGGAAATGCCCTGGGGACTCAGACAACAGTGATCACAACAAGCCGAAAGGAAAGACAGCCCCTGGCAGGCAGGCGTCATGTGGCCTGGGGTTCTCATCCTCTGGCCTTGGCAAAAAGACTGCAGTCACCAGGCCCTCCACAGGGGCAGCTCTCTGACCTCTCGGTTACTCACCTGTTGCCCTGTCCCAACACTACCCAGTTTAGAATGGGTCTGAAGGATTAAACCCAGCTATGATCTGAAAGATGCACACCATACTTAGCTGACACTTCCGGGGGAGGTGAAGGAGGGCCCCTCTGACATTACTCTCTACTCCTCTACAAAATGAGAATATAGACTCATGTTATTTGCATAATGAGCAACACTGAAACTAAAAAACAGGAAGGGTTTCCTTGGTTTGGTGGCTTAGAAAACATCCCAGGCACTTTGTCTAGGAGTGCTGTTTTGGAGCCAGACTGCCGATTCCTCCTGAAAACCCCAGGGCAAAAGGGATACGTAAGCAGCTTCCCTGCGTCCATGGTACCACCTCACAAAAGGGATGGTCGTCACAGGTTTCAAGTGATTCCTAGGGCACAAGGGTGGGGAGGACAGCACTGTAAGCTTCCATATAATTTCTTAATGCTCCATTTGATATGAGAGACCCTCCTGTGGGTATAGAAAGGGCTTCCTGACCTCACACCAAAGCTAAATGGCTGAAATCAGGAAGAAATTTGACTTCTCTTAAAAAGAGAAGTTATTTGTGCCTCAACCTTTGCCCACCAGCTCGTCACCGGCAGGCAGCTCCTTTCTTACAAACCCCAACCCCAACAGCCCATCTCAAAGACCCAGGGGTGTAGAGAGGGACAGACAGGGAAAAACTGGGGTGGGGTAGAAGGGGGTAAAGGGGAGAACAGGGGATACCCCTGGTCCAGCTGCCCTCCCAGAGCAGCCTTCGTTCACAAAGCTTTCTGCTTCACTAGAATTTTAATTTCCATACATCAAGCAGAATTATGATGTTTAAAATCACTCATAGCCTAAGCCACACATAAGACTGGTGAACCAGTATGAACTTGAAAAAACAAAAATTATGATGAAAAGCAAAACAAAACAAGAAACTCAAGTTTAAACTAACTTACAGGTAACAAATTATAACTGGAGAAAATTGATTAAAAACAAACTACTTTGTCCATTTTCCCAGATACTCATGGTCTTTTGGTCTCCTATCATTAAGTATTTTGTAAGAGGCTTTATTATTAAACCACTTTCATGACTTTTTATTCCCAGAAAAATGCCAAAAGCCAATAGGAATGTTAAGTGATTTTTCATGCTTGTTCATATCCTCTAATGATGCTTATCTTTTTTCTGGGCCAAGGAATGTGGCCCAGGATGAGGAATTCTGAGTGCTTGCTGGGCCTCCGGCCGTCCTCTGAGATCTGCTACTGAAGCGCTCAGCGCAGAGACAAATCCTTCCCGGTCAGCCCTGCCCAGGTCCCCTCTAGTCACGGCTCCACTGCCCCTGTTAACAGACCCTTTCAACTCAGTGCAGCTTCCTGGATGCTCCAACTCCCACTCACTCATTTCTTTCTTTTTTTGTGGCTTTTTAAGAGAGGGTCTCACTGTATAGTTCAGGTGGGCCTTGAACCTACCTACTATGTAGTCCAGGCGGGCCTTGAACTTGATCCTCCTGCCTCAGCCTCTGGAGTGCTGGGATTACATGTGTGAGCCCCACCATACCTGGCCCCAGTCACTCATTTCAAACCTCCCGGAAAATATCAGTATCACAACCAAACTGAATCTCCGGCGGAAACTTTTTTTCCTTGTCTTGTAACTTCTTGGTTTGTTAAAAACCTGACCTCCTAAAGGACATGGCCGATTTTATTTTCAGTATTGACAAAAGCATTCTAAACCACACACCACCACCCCATACTGCGGATCCAACTCAGGACCTTGCACTTTCGAGGCAGGTACGGTGCCACTGAGCTAAATTCCCGGCCCCGAATTCTAAAACTTTTTAAGGTGACATTTAAAATAAATTCAGATAATCTGTTTACCTGGGTGAGAATGTAACTCCTTTGAGCTTCATCCATTTTTATCAAACTAGCATTGATATAGTCATTATCTTCTTGATGTAGTTTAATCCGACTATGGTCAACTGAAAGGTGAACCAGAACTCAGGTTAATGCTTAGAGGGTCGGAGTGTCTCCCCACAGGCCACTCGCCCACAAGAAAGCGGAGAAGGGGAGCCCACGCCCCTAAGGCATTCACACTGGCAGAGGCTTTGCTGTTAGGTGTCATCTATGAGGGCTGACTGTCATTTTCAGAGTTTTCTCTGAAGCATTTGAAAGCCAACAACACTAAACAGCACCAGCAATAAACCACAGTGAAGCCTGGACTTGAAAGTCTGTCCTTGAGCCCTGTCTTCCTGTGACATCTCTCACTCTCTCCACATGTGGCAGGCCACAGGGGGGCATCAAAGTCTCTGTTCTCTGGAGCCAAACACAAACTTTTATAAGGTAAAAAGCAGAGTGGCTGCAATCTTTAAAAGGGAACAAAGTTCAGCCCAAATCCCAACCAGTGCCCCAGCGGTGGCTGGCACAATGAGCCAGCAAGTAGGACTTACAATCGCACCTCAACCTCAACTATGGTCAGTGGTTTGAGGGGCAAAGAACCTAAGCACAAAGCAGCATGAACAGCCAGACCTGGAGTTCCTTTACACAGCTGTTCTTTTAAGAACAACTTTTTAAAGTTCAAATATAATGAGCTTAAATGATTCTAAATCTTTCAAATGTCACCAGCAAAGATATTTAAAAGAGAATTTAAATGTTCTGGAAAATACTCGAAACCCAAAGTGCTGAACGTATATAAGTGTAACTTTGAGATTAGTTTTTAGAAATCAATTTCATTTGGAAGTTCTGCCCCCAAAACCTTGTCACAAAAGCAGTGGTCCCTGAAGGCTATTTTTCTTATCCCGTTGGCTAACAAGAGCAGGTGGGTACTTTCATTTCTGGCATAAAACAAGGGACAATGGACTCAGGTGACCTCCCGGAAGTAGTACCTCCTCCCTAGGACCAACAGGAAGAGGGTTAGTTACTGGGAATAAGTGATGAGGGGACTTTGTTCCAAGTCCAAAGAGAGGCATTTTAAAATAAGCTTTCCTTGAATACTATTTCTCACCATGGAGAATTAATAAAAACTGAGATACTTGGGGGATTCTTTTTTTTTTTTTGGTACTGGGGATCGAACTCTGGACCTTGTACTTACAAGGCAAGTGCCAGAACCACTGAGCTAAATCCCTGGCCCACTTGGGTGATTTTTAAGTGTATCAAGGTGATAAAAAAATCTAAAAATTTATGTGACTGGTATTGGTGGGCTGAGTGGATTCAAACAGCACCGGGTGACCTCGGGGAAACCGGCTGTTCTCTGGGCCTTGTGTTTTCACTGCTGAATGCAAGCTATCCGGAGGGTTGTGGAAGAGCCAGCAAGTCGCTGTGTACAAAGCCTCGCTCAGCAGCGGTGCGAGGTATGAGGCCAAGGGCTGCTGTCGCCACCATGGGCACTGTGAACCGGGCAGCAGGTCACCTCCGCCTGGGCCATTCTCCCCTTTCCCTCACAGCACAAATGGCAAAATATTTTTTCCACTTGAAGGGATGGGTAGGAGACCAAAAAGAAGGGTATGAGGAATGAGATTGGGGTGAAAAATTGGGGGATTATTTCTGAGGAAGAATATTTTAAATGCTGTAAAACTGGCTCCAAAGCTATTTAGGTGAGACATTATTAAACACATAGCAAAGGAATATGGCACTCAGTGCGGTACCTCAATTCAGAAAAGTGCAGCTATAGCGAGCGACTTGGGTGTCCCGGTGCTGTGCCATGTGCAAGAGGTGAACAGCGACTGTTCTGTCACACGCAGAGCCGCAGGGAGAAGCCCCCAGCCAGGGCTTCACAGTTGAATCACCCAGGATTTTTGTTTTTGTTGCTGTTTGTTAAATAAAGATATATGTGGCGCCTCAGCCTAGACATGTTAAATCAAAGGCATCAGGCACTGGGCACACTTAAGTGTCACCTGAGCACCTAGTACTGCACTTCAGATGTCCTAGTGGCCAATATTTACTGAGTACTTACTACATCTGGGCTAGGTGCTTGTGCTGTCTCATTCATCTTCACACACTCCTACGGGGTGTGACTCCTGCTGCATGGACAATCAGAGAAGAGAACAACTTGCCCAAAGCCACAGAGTTCTAAGGGGCCGGGCTGAGATGTAAACTCAGGCAGGGAACCAAGGTGGCAGGCCGGGAGGCACTGGCGCTACGCCCATTCCAGGTCCTCTTTAACGTTCCCCAGGGAGTGTGAGGAAACACCACGGAGATGTCACTGCCACTGACCCCTGGCTCCTGTCCACTGGCCCTGGAGGGGAGTTCAAAAGGCCTCGTGGCCTAGTGGAGATGGCAAAGTTCACATCCCGAACTCAGCTCAGATTTTTCTTGCTTCATACAAATTCTAACATGTTCAGCTGTTGACTTTCAAGATATCAGAGCCAATCCTCCGAAGGCAGGAGGCTACCCGAGGGCAGCAGGCACACTGACAGTCCTGAGAAGGTGTGCTGGTGGCAGTGAAGGACAGAGTGGGCAGAGGGGCAGGGGAGGGTGGCATCTGCAGAGGGACACAGCTCCACCTCTGTGTGCCCGTGTGGGACATCGCTGTGGTTCAACACAATGCAGGGGGCTAACAATACTGCTGCTGAGTCACCAAGAAAAGGTTACATTATGCCTGCTACACTCTGCTTCAGCTGGCAGGAAAATGATTCATCACAAAATAGCCAAAGCTAAAAAAAATAGTGCTTTGAACTTTGCTGAGTTTTCCAGAAACTGAAACCTTACCCTTCTACAATGGTGGAAAAATGAACCATTACTATAAGTCTCTAATGCTCACTTCATAGGAAACAATCAAGTCATAAATGCTGTGAATTTATCACCTAGCCCTGGGTGATGAAGTCTGGGTGGAGGGGGCCTGTGGTGCAGGAGGAGCGAGCCCAGGAAGCTGTGTGGGTACTTACAGGGACTGACGTCTCGGTACCTGTTTCGGTTTTTGTTCATAGGAAGCTTAGCCACTTTACAGGGGAAGTCACTGGCTTCATGTCGGATGTCCTACAAGAAAGGATAAAGAGTTCTCTTTTCCAGTCTCTGGCATCAGGAATCCATCCAGACATTTAACTGAACACTGGCTTCCTGCCAGGCACTAAGGGCAGAAACAGACATCAAAAAGGACCAGGCAGTGTGGGAAGGGCAAGGTGCTAATTCAGAGGTATGTACAAAGTCAGGGAGGAAGGCAGAAGAGGAACAACCAAAGGCCGGGGTCAGAGGCAGTGACGCAGGACAGGAAGCTAGAAGCCCGAGGAGGCAGGCGGGAGGGGGAGCGATTCACTCAGGAACACCCCACCTGGCAGAGGCAGTAGAGGCGAGGGGGCTGTGGAGCTATCATGAGCCAGGAGCCAGGAACAGTGAGTGGGCAGCAGGAGGAACGACAGACGGCGGGAGGACATGGGTGGGCAGGCCAGATCTTGCAGAGCTTAGGATGGCAGGCCCAAGAGCTCCAACTGGAACCTTTAAGGGACATTTATGCCAGCACACTTTCCAACCGCTCTCCCAGGAGGGAAACAAATCCCATTGCCCCAGATACACAGGAGCCCTGGGCGGCCTCTGCTCTCTCCTTGAACAGCTCTACACTCCTGCAAACAATCCCTACATGAAATCTGTCCTCTTATCACAAGACAAGCACGTGTAATAGAGCAGAATGTAATACTAACACTAAACTGTACATTTAAAAATGGTAAATTTTATGTTTCATAAATTTTACCACAACTTAAAAAAAAAAAAAGACAAATCCACAAGGGGAGAATGGGAGAAGGGACAACACTAATGGGATTCTGGAGGCCGGAAATCAGGCTGTTCAGTAGTTTGGCAGGCCAGTTCCAATCAGTGGAGGGAAAGCCAAGAACTGCCCCACATGTCCACCCAGAGGCCTCCCGGGCTCCGGAAGCAGGGCCGTAATGAAAGGAGGGGTGGGATTCTCTGTGGGTGTGTGGAGCTGAGAAGAGCCAGATGCCCTACCTGTCCAACTGCTGAGCCAACTCACACTTCTGCAGAAATCTGGAGAGCTACTCTTTGCAAAGAGTCAATCAGAAGGTCTCTGGACTGGACTGCGGGATTGGCACAGTGGAAAGTGTAAATGCTCCACCAAAACCAGGGTGTGAGCGACTCTGCTAGGTACACAATGCCCACAGGGACTCCCAGCCTTCCTGCCCCATCAAGTCCTCACCACCTCCAGGCAGGAGCACTTCTCTGTCTGACCAGACAAGGGGAAAGACCAAAATACAAGCAGCAGGATGTGGAACTCCCTGACCCATGCTATGCCTCCGGGCCCCCTCCCCTGCAGGACAGACTCTGAGCCGTCCTCTCCATGCAGGCACCACTGACGACAGGAAAACCTAACAGAAAAACCCAAACCAGGAAAAAAGTCCTTTGGAGGAAAAAACTGCACAGAACAGGAAGACTTACAAGATATATTAGCAATACACACTCGGAAATAAGACAAAATCTTGTATCTATAAACTAAGAACAGAATGTTTTATAAGAGAAACAAACCTCTCTGGAAGCTTCAGACAGCCGAAATGACAAGTTCAGCTAAACAGTCAGATAAAAGCAGAAGAAATCCTCCCTCAGAGAATAAAGCCCAGAATAAGCAAACCAAAATAAAAACACAAGGAAAGGGGCTGGGGATTTAGCTCAGTGGTTCCAGAGCCTGCCTTATAAGTGCAAGGTCCCAAGTTCCATCCCCAGTACCAAAAAAAAAAAAAAAAA